CTAAGTCTCATGGCCCTCTATCAGAATCCAGAGTTTGAGAAGATTGGGGATACTTAATTTTTCGCCAAAAAAAAAAAAACGTAAGGGGTAACACTGTCGTTTTTTTTTTCGGGTCGAAATTTGAGTTTCGATATCTCAGCACTGGAAGGGTCTAGAGCCTCCATTGTTGCACTCAGGTCTATGTCTCATGGCCCTCTATCAGAATCCAGAGTTTTGAGAAGATTGGGCATACTTAATTTTTCGCCAAAAAAAAACGCAAGGGGTAACACTTGTCGTTTTTTTTTCGGGTCGAAATTTTGAGTTTCGAAATCTCAGCACTGAAAGGGTCTAGAGCCTCCATTGTTGCACTCAGGTCTAAGTCTCATGGCCTCTATCAGAATCCAGAGTTTGAGAAGATTGGAGAAACTTAATTTTTCGCCCAAAAAAAAAAAACGTAAGGGGTAACACTGTCGTTTTTTTTTTCGGGTCGAAATTTTGAGTTTCGAAATCTCAGCACTGGAAGAGTCTATGCATCCCGCATCTAAACAGGAGGCTGGTTGAATCATGCGGCACATTCTCGGGGACGAGCCACAAATCCGCGAGTCCGGATTACACACCCGTGAGTAGCCTACAGATTGCGAAAGCGTGGGCACGGTTTATGAATTTGTGGGTACATATTTCAAAAACTGAGGGCACGGTTTACAAATCTGAGACCAGGGATTAGGAACTCGTGGCTACGGTTTATTAATCCGTGGGCACGAATTGTTAAACCGAGGGAACAGTTTAAGAATCCGTGAGTAGCCTACCGTTTATAAATTAAGGGGACGGATTATTTAAGCTTCAAGAACGGTAGGATAAACATAAAAGCTGTCGGCCAAGAGCATGTAACGAGGTTTGATCTTGCGTCGTTTGGAGGTATATGAGGTTGAGGATGATGCGTTAACCACACAGCTATCGCTGGACTGCTAATGCGCTGTCGTCTTATACGATTGTAAAGCCTCATTGATGTAGCCTAATATGTTTTGACTGCAATGTTTTAAGGTTTCATTATTTTTTCAATTTAATTTCAGTATTGTGATTAATTAATTAATTTAACTACGTTTCACTTGAATTAATCTGCTACCATCTTTCAATCGCTCTGAAAGAGCCGCGGCGCAGTTGAAGATTACACAAAAAACGGACACTTTTCAAAGTCTGTGATTGTTGCGCCTCTTAGCGGCCAAAGGCAGCAAATACACCTCAACTTTTACCGCCGCGGCAAACCTGCGGCGGTAAAAACCACATTCTGGTTGTCTACCTACTGTACTTACAGATTGTGATTCGGAGGAGGACGAACCTGATCCATATACACTGGATACTGAGCCCTCAGGAACAACCGGCTTGCGAATCCACATTTGAATTCATTTATGTTTTTGAATGATTCGTAATTAAAATGATGAGAACACAAGGTTCGGGCTATACTGTTGTGGTATCGTTGCAAATATGAACTCACTGATTCTGATTCTTCACATGCTCCCTGGGCAATGAAAACAAGTGGCTGAAGTGAACTGTCTTTGCAATGTAGAACACAGCGTCTTCTCGACATGACGCTATTCAGCTAAAGTGTTTTTGAATGTGTTCTAGACTAGACTTTACACTCCCGTCTGCGCGCTCAGTTGTTGGGAGCGGCCAATGACCTATCTACGTCACGATGTAACAGCTAATGACTCGTTTCAAAAACAATTAATTTCATAGACTCAGAGTCGACTCTCACTTTTGAAAGACAATAACTTTATATACGGTGCACTTTCAGATATAAATCTTTGCAGGATGTTTTCATTCCCTTAGAGCTATATTCCACACTACATGAACATTCATTTTCAAAAATCCATGATAGGTGCTCTTTAAAGATAACGTTGAAATACGTTGTTGACTTAACTTAGATCAGATGTAGACATCCTTGTTTTAGTTGGTGTTGTGGTCTACCGCATAACTTAATCGCGTAACTTAATCCAGAGCATACACTTATCTTGGTTGAGATGTGGCTTGAGACAGGGTAAAAGAAATACACATCATTGCTCAGCCTCTCGGAAACCCAGTGTCAGAGTTGCATGTACCCCATACACACCGTTTGACCATTTTAAACTTAAAATAACTAGAAAAAACGAATGAAACGACTGACCAACTGCAATGCATTTCAATGGAAGTGGAAGCAAAGAATGTCCGAGTGTAATGGGTTAGCTGCGCACTGTGATTGGCTCATCGCATTTGAGGGTGTGGCTTAGCCATAAGTCAATTCAGCTATTCAGCTTGAGTCAGTTCAATGTCCCCAACTAAGCAAGCCAAACACGACAGTGTCAAGGAACCCAAACTGTATCAGGTGACAGAAATGGGGGGAAAAATCATGGAAGAAACCAGGCTCAGTCGAGGGGCCGCTCTCCTCTGGTCATATGAGCAAACATGGTGTGCTTTATGATTCTAGACTGCATCCACCTCAGAGACTGGAATTTCATTTCAACCCTAGACTAGTGAGTGAGACTAGTGTGATTGAATTTGGACCCTGTCTGCAACATCAATAGAGTACAAGTTGTAATGAATCTGGAACATAACTTGAATTTTCCTAAGGGCGATCTTGCGTATAATACTGAAATGTAAATACGTGTAGTAAACCTTTAATTCAATCTGTTATTTGTGTTTGATGTAGGCAATGCATCTGGAATATCTCAGCCGCATTATCTCGTGTTTGTTGAGCTAAAGGGTGTGAGGAACCTCTCAGAGGAACAAAGATACAAGGTGACTATAATGTTCATTAAGAAACCCTTTTCTGTAGCTGCTCATATTCTAGATATCTTTTCAAATCCAACAGTTAGACCACTGCCTACAAGAGGACTCTGACATCTACAGATCCTTCAGGATGAAGGGCAGCATCGGACCAATGAGAGTTCAGCTCGTTCGCGATGGAACTTTCCAAGAACTGAAAGATCGCATGATGGCCTTCTCTGGTGTTTCGTCCAACACCTTCAAAATGCAGCGTGTGATACGTAGGAAAGAGTTTGCAGACTTTCTACTGCAGAGGGCTTTCTCATGAGCATTTCAATTAAAGATGGAGGCTCTGATACAAAGCTGAGGAGTCATTTTTGGCTGTTAAAATAGTTTCTCCTATCCTAGTTGTATAGGCAGAGACAACTGTAAATAATCCACTGGTTTGGCGATTCCCTGAAAATTGCATTTTCAAAGCAGACCTCTGGAACAGGCTCAACCAGGGGCATGAGTTGTCCATCCGATGGAGGTGTAGGATTTCAAATTTAAGATCTGCCGATCCTACATCCTTACATAACATCACATGAAAAACTAAGGTGAACTACACTGTATTGGGCATTCAAGGTGAACATGATGGCATCAATTTGCTGAAAAGATGCCATCAAACTATGTGTGAATGTTTATATATGGCCATGTGATTAAGGGCTACCATTATCTTCACAGTCGGGGGTAATTGCCTGTATTGTCTTTTAAATTATTTGTTTTAGTGGTCCTCTCTAAGGCTGTGTGTAAGGTCAACACTTTTAAGGACTGTCAATAGGACTGCCCACTGAAAGAACTGCCTAAAAGATACCAATGTAAAGTTCCCTTTGTCAGACTTGCTGAGGACTACAGACAGCTCGTGTTCTCAATAAAGAATCCTGCTGAAGATACAACCAAGTCTTCGCTTCTGAGTTTCTTATAGAGGTCACAAGGATAATTTGGGAAACATGTATGGGTCTGATGGTTGAGTGATGATTCTTAAACCTGCAGGACCACAGTACTGCACATTTCAGATATGTCCCTTATTTACTGCAGCGCACCAGATTTCTATCATTAACCCTTTGATGCACATCGTGGGTCTACTCTAAATAGACCTGACGGAGTTTTTATTTTCTATATCTTTGCAAGAAATTAATTAAATTTTTTAGTATTCCAGGTATTACTCAATTAACTTGTTTTTAGATCATTACAAATCCTTATTTAAATATTTCCTTTCTTTTAGAAGAAAAATCGTTTTTGTGTCACTACCCTTCTAATGCGCAATATGGGTCTAAAAAGACCCGTATTCATGTTTCTTTGCTGAATATTTGAAAGAAATGTTTTTTATCATTTATTAATCCAGGTATTCATTAATTAAATATCTTGTTTTTGATTTCCACAAATCATTATGATTATTTTTCCTTTCTTACTTTATAAACAAACACGGTTTTTCTATTTCTACATCAATTTTACACACATTGGTCAAAAATTACCCATATAGGAACCTTTGATATATGTATATATAGTATACATATATTTACTGCAGAAAACTATTCACCTGCCACACATTTTACAATTCAAAACTGCTTTTGTATATTTCATTTCATTCACTTTGTATGTCATTGCTGGCTTTGACAAACCAAAAAACATTCGGTATCATTTTGTTACACTGGCAAGGAGACAAGATGCCACTTTTTCAACACTCCCTATAGATGATTGATAAATGCTGCAGATTCAAGACATTGCCCTCTGGCATCTTTGTTGCGACACTGCTATAATCATAACCTGCTGAAATGAGTATATATACAAGGCTATTATATTTGATAACATCTGATATCTATGACCATCCTCAAAAAGATAGTTGTTTTAGGTAACATTTGGGCAACATAAAAACATAAAAATCTCAGTCTCTAGGGTATCTCATTTTTCATTATATTTATTAATTAAATTTGACAATACAGATACATTTTATAAGGTTATAAAGGTTAAAAAAAAAAATGCCTCATGGAAATAATACAAATATTACCCCTTCATGCAAAAGTTAATTTCTGACCCTGCCCAAAACAGATCAGGATTTCTTTCTGTGCCCCAATCCAGCATGTTTGTCTTGTAGAAAAGGAAGTTGAGATGATATTTAGAACACACGTATAGGGAAAACTGTTTTATTTGAATTCTCATCATTTAATATAATTGCATGCACAAAAACAAAGCAAATATACAATTGAAATAAGTTACCATGCTAAAAAAATATGGTAAAATAAGAAAAACTACCATTTTATAAAAGATGCAAGGGTTATATAAATGAGAACAATTAAAGTGTTTAACAATCAAGAGATGTTTTCTAAAACTGTCAATCAATAAAAGCATTAACAGTCCTTTATACAGAATGATACATATCTGTATTTAGTATTCAGTGTCAGTTTTGGAGTAAAAAAAATACACTCAAATGCTGAATCAGGTTTCCCCAGTCTTTTATATGACCACTCAAATGTTTAAACATGAAAAGATCAACCAAATAAACATTATTATTACATAAGGTGTCATTTGTTAACATTAGTTATAATGTACCTACAGGCCAATTCGCACATTTACATACTCAAAACTGTTAAACTTAAGTTAAAATCCTAACAGACAGAAGACAGAAATTTGCTACATTTTACAGTAATACTATTATATAATATATAATAATTTATAATACTAAAAATTTTGAACTATATTATTATTATTATTATAAGCGTTGCTTCATCCACCTCCTTTTCAAACCATGCACTTGAATAAATTGTTTATGTAGCCTGTAATGTTGATTTGTGAGAAAACTAGAATGCGGGTTTGAAATAAACATCATCATCATTATATAACTATATATTACAAATCTATAAAAATGAAATAGTATCAAAACAATTAGATGTATAGCTGAACACACAGTTAGTCTTACAAATTTATTTCCATCTATACAAAATGGGAAAACTTAGGAATAATTTTGCACTGTAATGTAAACATGGATAATGCAAGTGAACTACTAACAGTTATGAGTGTCAGTGTTTGTTTTTTTTTTTAAAGAAATTTTACAAAAGAAAATGTGTAACGCTCCTGTTTTAAAAGTGGCAAAGTGTGTTTGTTGCTGGAAAACCTTTGCTGGTGTTATGGAAGAATGACTTGATTTGTGGTTTTAATACATTATGAATGTGAAATTAACTGCTGTGCTGTGCCAAGCAGAAAGTTGCTAATGATATCTGTGTGAAGAGTTTTCAAAAAGTGACCTATTAAAAATGTCCTAGCAATTGTAAAAAAAAAAAAAAAAACAAAAAAACACTGAAATTCAACGATCTGTAGTAAATTATTCCCTTACTTACTTAACATAGACAGTGACCAATATATTTACATTAATCTTAACAAATAATGTAAATAAGTACTTTTGAATGTAAATGTATAGGTAAATGTTAAAATTAATCAATAAATGCTGTGGAAGTATTGGTTATTCTTAATTCCATGTTAAATATCGTAGTTAACTAATGTTAACAAATAAACCTTATTGTAAAGTGTTACCACATCATAAACTGTAATTACATACATAAGTAACACAGACTCATCCCAATAAGTCATATAACTGACGTCTTGGGAGGGACGTCTTTTGACCACATGTCAATATCCGCCTTTTTAGGGTACCCTTAAACGTCGATCCCGGGCCGTCATACAACTGACACTTTACCTTTAACGTCAGTTAGGTGACGGGGTAGGTTTAGGTCTGGGGTAGGGTTAGGATCCGATAACGTCATCTAGCCGACGTTTAAGGCGGATGTTGACGTATGGTCAAAACACGTCCCAAGACGTCAGTTATATGACATCTTGGGATGAGACTGCGTGCAGGTTCATGTTGCATACTGTACAGTCCATTAAATTGTAATATAGCTCATAATCATTGCAGTGGTCACATATTGTGCAAATAAAAAAATCAACCCTGAGTCTCATATCCAAGTATGTTATTTAGTGCAATATAGTACTACTGGAATTCTGGCAGCAGATTTTTAAAGCATTAAATGTTTTAATGGAATTCCAACAACATGCAACGTTCACAGATTTAGCAAAGACGGCATTACTCAGCATATTTTAAAATGCATACATTTTTAATTAGCTTTACTAATTTATCATGCAGTATTTTCCGTTGCCAATTGTGCATATAGGTTTTAAAGTGGCTTTCTTTATATCTTGGCTACAAGGTCATCTGATTGAAATATTAAAATAAAGATGGTCCATTATGGGCATAGATTATAACAGTTCTTCAGAACAGTCTGCTGCCAAAACAGTTTTATTTCTGTGCACTTGACTGTTTGTTTGGTTGTTGTTTTTTTGTCCCATAAACAGTCAAGATCTACAAAGGAAAATGATAAAGTATGTAAATGTTCTTAGATGTATGCAAGGAAACATAGCAACAACATTTTCTTTAGGAAACATAATTAACAAGTCAGGAGAAAAATGAAATTCAATAAGTTCAGTAAAAGTGATTCTTTGTAATGTCTTTAAAATTGCAGCTGATGTCCACAGTAACAGACTAACAAGTGTAGTTTACTGTACTCGTGAACACCTAGATAAAACAGTCTTTTTTAGTAGAGTTGCTCTCCATTTAATGACATAATTCACATGTGCCTTTGCATAGTTTTACAGGTTTTGAAAAAAAAAAAAATGATGGAATACCAGGAACCAAGTTTCTGAAAAAAAAAAAAAAAACAAAACAGTTTTTAGATTAGTTTGCATTGAAATCCAGTGTGATGAGTGTGCTCCGATGAAAAATTAGCTCATATTTATGTACAGTCTGTAAGTTAGAAATCTTATTGAAAATTTTTGAAAAATTTTATTTTCAAAGCACCATCTCTTTAAAGATTTTTAGAAAGTTCACATGCACATTCTTTCCTGCAAAATTACAGTTTAGAGATCACAAGTTAACAGAACTTTTTGAGAATACTGGTAAATCAGTTCTGGCTATTTCTACACTGTTTACAGCTTAGTCATTCAGCCTTTTCATTGTGTCCCTTCGGAAGACTTGGATTACTCATTCATTAATATGGATTACTTTTAGTGCGTCTTCGTGAACTTTTTGAAGCTTGAAATTTTGGGTTTTGGATGATGACAAATGATGACAGAATTTTACAAATAACTTCATTTGTGTTTCAAACATGAATAAAAGTCTTGTGGATTTAAAAAGACGTGGGACAGAATTTTACAAAGAATGTGATCCACAGAATTATGTGTGATGTACATCAACTGAATAGGCATTAGCCAGTTAAAACCAGACCATTCTCAGTTGTAACTGAGTTATGGTCTGGCAAAACGTCATAGTCAAATCATTTCCAGAGGGGCGTCACCAATGGACGTCGCGGGTAGACCTAAAACCAATCAGGGGTGCGTTTCCCGTACAACGACGTAGTTCGCTGCTTCATAGTACGATGCATCGTTGGAAAAATCAAGCTAGTCACGACTGTTTCCTGAAACCCACTGTCGCAAAGTATCGTTCAACCACGTTGGTTTCGCACGTGGTGGAATAATAACTACTTGTAATGAAACCGTTTGAGATCCAATTAACGCTAGATTTTTTAAATATAATTTACAAACATGTCATCTGAGGAATATTTCTAAATGTTCTCAGTTATTTTGCTTTATTACCAGACTCAATATTTGGCTCATTCCCATAGTAGAGCAGGGTTCACACATGCGCACTCTTCAAACACGTTACTTAAAATCTTTGAACAAGCTAAAAGATGTAAATTCCATTTGTTTGTATTCTAAATAAAAGGCACCGGTTGTACTGAATGTCAGCTTGCTTATTTTGCTCAAGATAAGGATTTATTACGTCCAAATGTGTTGCAATAGTCCAATACGTTGCAATAGTCCAAACGTCCAAATGTGTTGCGAGGCTGTTTGCGAATGTTCGTTGGAACGATGATTTCGGGAAACACCGACTCATTGAACTATGCTGATAACGACGGAACTTGCGACCATAGTTGGCTAACGATGGTTACGGGAAACGCACCCCTGAGCGATGAAGGAGATGACGTAGGCTATGCAGAGCGGAGGCCGGTGGAGAAACCTCTCCGAGTGTTGTTCTTTGGTCGGTTTTTAACAAAAGGAAAGGTTTTTAGCAAAAAGGAAACGTTCAAATCGCTTAAAACAGACGCGATAGCTGATTCGAACGAGTGATGTTCGACGGCGGCATCCATCTTTGTAATGTAGGCTACAAAATCTGCTTCAAAATCCCAGCGCTGTCATCATTGCGTAAAGTCCGCTCCAACGTTTCTAATTGGTGCCGCGATTTTGACGGATTGGAAATGGGCTTGAATGAGCTCTTTGCCAGACTAACTTTCAGAGCAAATCTAAATTTGCCGGAAGTTGTTGTTTTCCCAGGCTAAATATACTATTAAAGGTGGAATACCTAAGATTTTTGCATTAAAATATCCCAAAATCACAAGGCCAGTGTTATATATTTAGTTAAGATGATAACTTACAATATTCCAAATGTTTCAAACAATGTTTAAATCGCGAGAAAATTGAGATTTTAACCAAGGAAACGGGGCGTGTGAGCAGGGGTGAGCTGGGAGTCGCCAGTCAATCGCGTCATATCCCCATTACCTCGGTTTCCGCTCGTACTGCGTGTAGTCCTGGACAAATGTGGAAGTTGTAGTTGTGCGTTAGCGTCTATCAAGCAACAAACGTCAGCTTGTTTCACGGATTTGTTATGGAATGGAGCACAATTATTCAGACAAGTCTCATAAACGCAAACGTCAACCAACGGGTCAACCAAATCCTGTTACAACTCCAGGTATCGCACACCGGACGTGCACTACTGTTTAATGACATGAAAGGAAGATAATGTCTGTTCTATGTTATGATTGTACTGTACAATTAAATAAAATCGTTGCTGAGTTTGCATTCTGAAAACTTTACCTCAAAGCATCCGTTAACTGAATGAATTGAGAATCTCACATAAAAAATCTAATAAAATTGTCATTCAAGCAGCTGATTTCTGTAAATTAATGCAAAACTAAATGCATATTGCAGCATAGGGCGAAGTCAGGATCCATTAGCAACGATTTGAGACAAAAATAATTAAAATTTTATATAAAACGATGTAAATGGCGCTCTGTGGCGCAGCAGGATTTTGAACACGGTCCTGAGCCGTTGCTGGGCGCCGCGGACAGACGCCGAATGGCGCCGCCGGTATGTGTACACTTATAGATAATAATGTGTTCGAATTTTAAAGATGTGGTGCGACGCGGCGCTGAGCTTCTCGTCCGGTGTGCGACCACCTTAACGTTAATTTTGTGAAACTGTAGCTATGGTTGAATACTTAAACGACATGAAAAGATGTGTCAAATTTACATTAAATAGATTTTTTTTATTTATATAAAGTTACCAAAAAGCAGGACCAGCCACATCAACTCCTTGCAAGAGACCTGGAATGCCCCTTCAAACCCTCTCCACCATAGCTTCGTCCAGTGACTCGTACAGTAACATCTGTGATAACTAATTTACTTTTAAACCTTACTTTTCTTGCGGTTATTTCAGTTTAATGAAAAACAAGCATGTCATTAAACGCAACATTTATAGAAATCGAACTTTACCTCATCCATGACAACTAATTTTCGATTCCCGTCTGACTGATTTATCCACGGTGGAGTTGAAAACAACAGTTCCCATCATTCCGCGTTCCTCCACGTCGTCATCAAGCAAAGCCGTTGTTGTTGTTTTGAATGTAGCGACCTCTAGCGCATAAAATCTTAGGTATTGTAGCTTTAACAATGATAACAGCTTCATTTATTGTGTCTATGTGAGTGTCGTTTGTGTGAGTTGTTAACTTACTTGGAAAGAACATCCGGCCCCCAGATTCTGATATTTTGTGGTTTTCCGTTTAGGACCAGCAGGTTTTAGAGGCTAGTGCGGAGCCAAATTTTCAACAACTCCAGAACTGCCTTTTTCTGCAGTATAACAGGAAAGGGTTAATTGCTGTGCTGCTGGTTCCTATTAATCATACTCATGAAGTTATGACATTCACAATGAAAGGACTGTTGTGTCATGGAGATTCAAACTGAAATTTTGGCTGCAGAATATATTTCCATCGTCTTGATTTCAGTCTTTCCTACAGTATATCATTCTATCAAATCCAAGCACCATGTGGTCTCTGTGCTCTCCGATTGGCTTTGAAGTTCTGCACTGGATCCACTAGACCTGCTCTCTGATATCTCACCGTCTTCGCCAGGCCTTTGATTACCCAGTAGGCACTCCTGACTGGTGTGCTCCATCTCAGATGACTCCCCAAGAGAACATTGAACACCCGATTCCTTTGGAGAAGGTGGATAATTCTCTGGTGGGAAAGTGGAAGGGGCCACTTCTGGAGTCATGTTCACCTCACCTAGGGTTGGAGTGGAGTAGGAAAACGCTGGTTCTGTGGAAAGGTGTAGGTGTGAATGTGAGCTAGGGGTGACTTTGCAGGGGAGCGAGGAACCGCCCAAGTTTTGTGAAAGAAAAGGGTGCAAAACAGGCTGCGATTGGCTGATATTGGCATAAGCTCCAGAACAAACGCCCAGTGATAAAGCCTCTGCTCTGGGGCCTTCTCCAGGTTTTGGCCCATGGGTTCCTGTGCTGATGCTAAGGAGAGTGGATCCAGTAGAGAAGTGATGTTGGCTGGTTAAGGAATGGATGGAGCTCCAGTCATGGGAACACGGGTCATTTGCTGTGATGGGACATTGTTGATTAGACTCATGCTGGTGCAAGTGTCCCTGTTCAAAACCAGATCCACCTGCACATACCAGAGAAAGTTTTTAATCAAATGATGCCAACGATTGTGTAAAGTCTCTTTGGAAAGTAAACTTGTGTAGAGAAATGCAAATGGTTTCATCAATGAAAAAAAAAAAAAAACTATACAGTTTTTGGTCATACCACCAGTCCTGTTATGACTCCATGATGTGGACCCCAGTTGACTCTTAGGGACAACATGGTCTTTGTGCTGCATGTGGATGCTAGAACCCAAGATGTAGGCCGGAGACAAACTGACAGAAGAATTGGACATCATGTGGACTCCATAGGGACAGGAAGACATAGGAGCTGTGTAATGACGAACGGCCATCTGTGCTTGCAGTAGGTGTATTATGTGATGCAGATCCTTTGTTAGAATTGACACTTCCTCTTTCAGATTGCCCATCTGGAGAGAGTTTTAAAGTAATTGTATTAAAACATATTAAAAAGTAATACATTTATGTGGTATTTGAGGGTGTCGTGTAATATTTTCATGAACTGTTGGATTGATCTGGCAATGGTTGGATGATCATTTGTTGGGTCATCATTTACACTCAAGTTTTTCCCAAACCTGTTTGGGACTTCTAAAGATGATATTTTGAAAAGTTTGGCCAAAAAATCTATGGGAAAAAATGGGGCTAGTGAACTTTTTGGTTACCGTCATTCTTCAAAATATCTTCTTTTGCATTCAGCAGAAGAAAGAAATTCATACAGGTTTGGAACAATTTGAGAGTGAGTAAAGGATTGCAGATTTTTTTTTTGGGTGAACTATCCCTTTAAATTGAATTGTTAATATAATAATGTTTGTAACCTACTGTAATGTGTGCACTTTTCATTTGAATGCACCTCACGCCAATTCCGATTACTGAGCTTATAAACGTTTTTAGAAGGATTTAATATCTGTGTGTTTAGGAATGATAAATGTCACTGTACCTTCTTGTTGAGTTGGGTAATGGTCTCTCTCACTTCTTTTGTCTCCTGAAGCAGTGAACCATTCACCTGACCAGATCCTGAAATAAAACAATGAAGCAATGACCCAAATTATCTATATGTAACTTAGAAACTAAGATTAAAATATCCTTACCGTCCAGTGTCTTACTACGCAACGGTGTCACTGTTTTGGCAGTTTTGTCCTCCACATTGAAATTAAATGCATGTCTGTTGTCCTCTATACCATCTACAACTCTATAAAAACCATACAGCCAGTTACACACAGTCTTTTATGCACAAATATCAATTGTACAAAAAAATCTACATTTTGCTACATTTTGCTTCTTTTTTATAGAATACTTCAACACAGGAAAGAGAAATGCATGCATCAAACCATTTAATGAGATTATGTAATACAGTTTTTACAACTGGACCCATTTCTCAATACTTAAGCCACTTAAGTCACTCTTCACACAGCACAACATCAGTCAAATCAAATCAAGGCACATTTATTTATAGCGCTTTTTACAAAACAGATTGTTTCAGAATGCAATGCAACAATTTTTTTAGAAGAAAATAGCATCACAGTCCAGTTTAAGTAAATTCAGTGATGTTTCATATTTGTTAAAAAAAGGTATTTATTTAGTTCATTTTTATATAGCCACTCTGGAGAAAACCTTGATGTCATCGTCCAGCTCAGTTCAGTTCTCACGTAACATACTGTAGTGACTTACAAACTGGGAATAAGCATTTTCCAAAAGAAAACATTGTAAAATGCTTTATGTACCTGTTAGTGTTATTATTTTATGAGTAACAAAGTATGTTTGTTGGTTGACAGCCTTTGCTAGTGTAATGGAAGAATGACTTAATTTGAGACATGAATGAAGTGTTTTGGTGGTTTTAGTGCATTTTGGATGTGAAATTTACTGCTGTACCAAACTGAAAAAGGAAAACTGTGCGAAGTTTTTTTTAAAAAGTGATCTAAGTACTGAGAAGTGATTGTAAGTCCTAGTGATTGTAAAAATCAGGAAATCTTAAGACTGTCTGTTACCTTGGACTAAGATCTGGTGGTCCAAAGCATGTGAAAGTGGGGATGAGAAGTTTGGCAGGTTTGCGTCCTGTACCTTCAGAATCTGTCTGTGTCCTACGGCTGGGTTTAGGTGTAGTTGAGGGTGGATGGGTTTGTTTCTGTACTTTGGTCGGTGGTTTAGGGGAGGGGTTTGGACTCCAGCCCCTGACGGGTGAATGGCAATGTCTCAGGGCATTGAACTGCAGTAACTCCTCCCCTAAAAGGTTCCCCAAGGATGTACGTCGCACTGGGCTGGCTAGATTTGGCAGAAGAAGATTTCGGCATGTATTGGAAGAAGGTGGGATGTGGAAGTACTTGTTTTCATCATTAGCCTTTTCTACACTGGATGGACGCTTATTCTCAGTTGATGTACAGGAATCTGGGTAGTTCTGCGGCAGGGAGAAGACAAAGAAATGACAACAGTGGTAATTTAATGAGAAACTGGAACACCCAATAAGGAAACTTTAGTAACTCCCGCCTTTTAAGTGAAAGAGTCAATTTAGTTTGTTCGAAATTTAAAACAGTTTCTGTTTGTTTTGTGGTTAACATTGTTTTAAAGAACAATGCCTGTTGTTAGGTTTGCTGATGACTACATAAATGAAGTACATCCACCTTTAACCAAAAGAGGTTTCAAATTATGAATGGCGCTTCCAGTTTGAAGAGGAACTTCCACTCTAAAAATGAAAACGAATCATTATCAAATAAGAAATTACAGCCCGTTCTCATCCCCAGGATGTCATATATAAGTGTAGACATTCAACGCACATGGCACCCTTTAGCGTCAATATGAGACGCAGATATATATATATATATATATATATATATATACATATGGGGCAGAAGGTGCCTCCTAGTGGTCTAACCCTAACACTACCCCAGACCTAAACCTACCCATACTCTGTGCTTGTTATATTGACGCCAAAGGGTGCCATATTACTGTATTACTCTCATCCCGAGGCGTCATATAGAACGTTTTTGCCAAAGAATAGACATCCAACGCACATGGCACCCTTTAGCGTCAATATGAGACGCATATATATATACAGTATATATATATATATATATATATATATATATATATATATATATATGGGGCAGAAGGTGCCTCCTAGTGGTCTAACCCTAACACTACCCCAGACCTAAACCTACCCATACTCTGTGCTTGTTATATTGACGCCAAAGGGTGCCATGTGCGTTGGATGTCTATTCTTTGGCAAAAACGTTCTATATGACGCCTCGGGATGAGAATGCATCAGAAATTATCATTCCATTTGAATTATGGAACTGTACATCTGTACAAAAATGTTCATACCATATTTTTATCTGTCAGTAAAATAAAGTAACTCTTAGTATTTTAATGTGACATTGGTATGACTATGAACAGAATCTGTGACAGATTTTTTCTCTCTGTTTTTCTTTGATTTCTGCTGTAACAATATGAAAAATACAACAGATACTATGAAGGACTGCTGAATCGTTTTCTTCCCAAACCTTTACTCATGTCTCTTTCCTGGTTTGTTTTCACACGGGTGCTTTAAAAGGTCATTTTTTAAAATAGCTATCATCATTGTTTGCTAAAATGTTTCAAGAGAATATAACATGTATCTGTCAAAACGAGGGAAAGCACTTTGAAATATCCATCACTTCCAATTAATGAAAGTTTTTGATTAGCTAAAATAAAACCACAAGTTACGTTACAGTATATAGACTTAAATACTAAACACTCATATGAGATTTTGCTTTTTATTCATGGTCTCTTAAAAATAATTTGTAAATACTATTACATTTAAAATACATTGACTACTTTTAAAATGTGTCTAAAATTATGATACAATTTTTAAAACATTGAATAAAGTCCATTGGTGTTTTGCTCTTTACTGTACGGGTCTGAATTCGCATTTCCTGATGCTTAAAGGCCAGTTTACATCAATGCACAATTGGTGTGAAGATTTGGTGTAATAAACATTTTAATTTGAGTGAATGTTTTTTGTTTTGTATGGAGAGATGTTCCAATCTCTTTTCCATTCCACTAAGAAAAAAAAAAGCCTAAACAATAAGATTGGCTTTTGTGGTCATAGAGCCTGTTACATAAAGCCTGGGCACTCACAAACAGACCATTTTGTGACAGTGACAGTGAATATAAGTTAATGATTATTTATTTATTTGGTTACACTTTATTTTGATAGTAACTTTAGACATTCTACTAACTATAAGTAACTTTTCAACTACATGTCAACTATCTGTCATTAGAGTATTAGTATATTATAGTAGACTGTCAGTAGACGGTTGGGTTATGGTTAGGTGTTAGGCTTTGGGTCAGGAGAATAAGTTTACTTGTAGTCGCCAAGTTACTTATAGTCAGTTGAATGACCAACAAAATAAAGTGTTAGCAGATATTAAGCTGACAGTCTACTAATACTCATGACAGTTAGTTGACATGTAGTTGAAAAGTTACTTATTTGTAGTAGGAAGTCTAAAGTGGACTATCGAAATAAAGTGTTACCATTTCTTTTTATTTTTTTGATATGACAGATTTGACTATGATAATGTCTTGGACTATGTATGTAAATATGTGTGTTAGAGATCGTAGCCATACCTCAGTCTCACTGCCCTCTCTCAGATTATATGTGAGGTTACAGTGGATGTCGGTAGTGAAGATGCTGGCAAACTCAGGATATAGTTCAAGCACATCACTTAAACCTTTCACACTGATGTACTGCAGGTCACAATATGTCAGTGCCTTCACATCTGCATTTGTCTTGATCACATGATTCTGACTTGGCAGGTCTGAGCCAATCAGGTCTCCTTTTCCTGTAATGACATTAATGACATCAATGACATTGATTCCATATAAATCTAATGTTTCATTCTTTTTATCTATGTACGTATATACTGTAGTCTGTTGTTAAAATATTTTTTTGGGGTTCAATATACGTTTTACAGTAATGCACTTACAAAAGAACTCTAAGGGGCAAGGTATTGCACTGGAATACACTATGCATTGTTTTAAAAGTATAACAAGACTTCATTTAACATGAGACCCCTTCTGTACACTAAACACTAAATTACACTAAACTATATAGACCAGTAATCCCACTACTAGAAGTATATTTCTGACAACTGTACAGTTTAAACAACACACATTTGTATACAACGGAATTACTCCTAACGTAACTGGTCCTACTCCCACCACTCCCAATAGGATTTGAAACAGTGTCACAGGCATAGGAGGTGGGTGTGCTAACAAAGACGCTAAATTTGCCCATTGGCCCCCTAATCATCCCCATATGAAATTTGAAAGTCTCCTCTGGTATGTGGTGGGAGTTCTGGTGCAATATGGCTGCCGTCACATCATCCAGGTTGATGCTGCACATTGGTGGTGGTTGAGGAGATTCCCCATTCCATGTAACGCTCTTTCATTGCCAAGAAAAGTGCTATATAAATGTAACGAATTATTATTACTAGCTTGACTCGGTTACACTCAACCCTCTAAGCCTTACTTGCATTAAAGTTACAGTGCCATTGTAACTGGTCCTGCTTGCATCGCTCCGAGTGGGATTCACACCAACCATGGGAGGTGGATACGCTAACAAAGATGCTAAAGACCACACAATCTAATCCCTGCAGAGTGTGTTATTTCGGCAATCCTATCATTACGTCACACGGTAACACTTTACAATACAGGTGCACTAATAAGCATTGATTCATGCTTAACTAATGCACAGATAATACTGAATTAATGTGTAACTAATGATTATCTAAGCTATTCATTAATGATTACCACATTAGGAACTACTTAAGAGTCTGTAGGGTTAATGTATTAGTTCATACATAAATTGTTATTAATTAAATATGTAAACGTGGATTAATTCCATAATAATAATTAATTTTTTTAACTAATAGTGTTAATTAATATGTTAATTACCAGAATGAGCCAAAGCCTTGTATTTCAATTTCCAGATAATATGACAAGTACACTAATATGCATTAATATATGATTAATTACTTCATTGTTAGTGCAAATTCATGTGCAAATTACTACAATTACTAAATGACTAGTTAATAATGATGTGCCCCAACAAGTAAAGTCATAACATAATGATGCCTTTGCAAATCATTAGATAATGATGAATTAAAGCAGACAACTGGAAGTTGAAGTGCATAGCTTTGACTAATTGTGATAATTAACACATTCATTTACACTATTAGTTAATAAAATATTTTATTAAGGAATTAAGACACAATGACACATTGTATTAATAGCAATTAATGTGTTACTTAATCTATTAATCAAATAGACTCTTTATTAGTTGCTTATGCAGTAATCATTAATTAATGGTTTAGTTCTTCATGAGTTATATATTAACTCATGATTATCTGTGCATTAGTTAAGTATGAATTAATGCATATTAGTGCACCCGTATTGTAAAGTGTTACCCATCACACTGTACAACTTGGATCTAATAAAGTTGGGTCTAATAAAATCTAAGTAGACTATACGGTGATGACACCTATTCAATCGTATCGTAGGCTATGCGTTTTCAAAAACGTTTTGTTTTATGTTTTTTTTACAAACTGGAGAACAGTTGAACGTGGTGTTGTGGTAATTGACAGCATGTCACACATGCTGTACATTGATCCCTGATCAATGTAGTAGTATTACTACTACAACACTGAGCCAGTTGCATTAGTAAATCATGTGTAGTGTTCAGAAGGAAAGTCAATATAGAATGTAGAAAAAAAACAGTCAAAAGGTAAAAAAGCATCAAAGAAATGTTACAAACCCAAAGTGTGTTACAAACCCAGAATAGCCAAGACCATGTTGTCCTTTAGAACTTCCAGTGACCCAGAACAGACAAAGTAGTTGGCCTGCAATGCGTCCCCCTGTCTGATGAGATATTCTCCCGGCGTGCAGAAAGAGGTTTTGATGTGGAGGGAGAGAGAGCGCAGGCAACCCCTACTAGCCCCCTCAAACACAGGCAGTTGCAGGATATCTTTGTTTAAGTGCATGGCTATGTCAGCACGTAACTCATCAGGAAAGTCCCGCAAGAGCTGCAGAAAAGACAGAAAACCTCATTTACCATTGTTTGAAAAGAATGATGTGAAACAAAACGTTCCTCTGGCTGGAGAAAGCATTGAAATATGCCGGTCTTAGATTGCCTACTATTGCCCCTAAGCTGGCCACATTACTGTGCTTGAACCCCCGTATTGAGCTCATCCCTCTCTGTCCTTCAGTCGAAACAATTGGTCCCCCACAACTTTCTAGATTATAGCTACTGACACTACACTCTTAGAAGAAAAGGTTTCTATATTGAACCTTAAAAGGTTCCATCAGCGCTACATATTTGGAACCCCTAAAAGGTTCTATACACTCTTAAAAAAGGGGTTCCTCTGGAAAGGGGTTCCATACTTGGCCAATAGAACCTTTTACCAAAAAAAATGGTTCTATATAGAACCATTTTGGAGTTCCATATATGAATGGAACCATTTCTGGTTCTAAATAGAACCATTTCTTCTAAGAGTGTATGTCTTGATCTGAATTTCTAAAGAGTTCATGAACACAAAACGAGCACTTCATCATATGCAGCATTGGTGTGGATTAATATGACTGACATCGAATGCTGGGAACCATAGAAACCCATCACTGATTTATTATTAGGATATTGAAGAGAAAAAGGTAGGTTTTAAATCAGTAGATTTGGCTGTTTATAAGAAAAACAAGTGTTCCAAAAAAAAAAAGAAAAATCCCTGCATAGATCAAACCAATGACATTCTCACCTCATTAACATCGATGCCATTATTTACGGACCAGGTGGTCTGGAAATATTCCAGCATGCGTTGTTTCAGCTGCCGCGGCAGCCGGTGAACACGAATGAAGTCCTTCAGATCTTTCATGCGCGTGTGATATTGTGAGCGACGTGAGTACATGCGCTGGATGATGGCTGTCACATTCCCAAACACCACAGCGTGCATGAGAGCTGTGTTAGAGAAAGATCCAAATAAGATTTTTGATCAAATTAGCGACAAGGTCATTAAATAGGCTGATGTTAATAAACATGCAAACATGTACACTACTATGAAAAAAGTCAGTGATGATGTGATTGGCTGTTATTGGGAGGTTCTGGATGCGGTTGATTTTATGTTCTCATGGTGAAAATTATTGTGATAATTGTATTCAGTGCGGCTCAAGGGTCACGAAACACTCAACTACATTTCCTAAGATGTTAAGATGTTTGTGTTACTTCAGAAGACAATATTAGGATCTGTTAATTTTTTTATAGATATAAAATCCCAAATCTACGATTAAGTGGTTAAAATTGTGGAATTTTTTTATTTATTTTAATCTTCTGATTTTAAGATGTTTCTCATTTTGAAGACTGCATGCTCTATTTCTTCAATAGACAACCTCAATAATGTATGTGGCTGACAAATGCTACCTCTGTATTATAATGAGACACAGCAAACACGTCAGTGTCACAGGATTTGATGTTTTGAAGCACTTTAGTACTTCAATCATACATCTGTGTCTTATAACTATTCGTAAGACTGAATATCCCTATCCTATGAGAAGACATTTTTGCAATTATACATGACAGCCTGTGGCGTTTTCCTATGACTGGAATTTTTGACTGCAATGTGCAGCAGTTGAGAGACGCATTCATGGGTCACAAGTAAATAGTATTTGTTTTCCGCGGTCTAAGACTTCAAGAGGATGCAATTCATCCATACTATTAGTGTAACCAGTCTTTAAAACTCCCTGAAAATAACAGATCAAATTGCACTGACACTGCAAACAGCATAAACCCTTTTTTAAACCTGTAGTTTTTTGTGAAAAACTGTAAAATAATGGTAAATTAAGTGTTACTAGCAGTCAGTAATATGGAAACAATATTAACTAATCAGTAATAGGCAATTAGTTACCTACTACATTAATGTTATAGTGATATTTTATTAACAAAGTTCGGGAGGAGTATGTTCAAATAATTTATCCAATTATCACATCATTCCAACCAGCAGTCGACAATCAGTAATCAACATGTCTATCCAATCAGCTTGAGTTGGAGACCTATATATATAGAATGTATATATATATATATATATATATATATTAGGGCTGTGCAAAAATTAATTGCGATTAATCGCATCCAAAATAAAAGTCTGTGTTTACATAATATATTTGTGTGTGCTGTATATAATTATTTTGTATATATAAACACACACATGCATGCATATATTTAAGAAAATGTGTTATTCATATATCAAATATTTATATTTATATAATATAGATTATGTATTTATAAATATATACAGAATTTAAGCGCAAATAATTCTTAAATATATACATGCATGCATAGGTATTTATATATACAAAATAATTATATACAGCACACACAAATATATTATGTAAACACAGACTTTTATTTTGGATGCGATTAATCGCAATTAACTTTTGCACAGCCCTAATATATATATACACTCATTTGACTCGTCGATGTTCCTCGACAGTTTTTCAGTTGTCTGCAGAGTCATAGTTTAGGAGCTATAAAGGAGCCATAGTTTTATAAATTGTGTGTAAGCAATTGTCAAATATTGTAAAAATGGTGCAGCATGTTGTGATGAAGTATGAGGTATTCCAAAGAGCTACTTCCACAAATAGATTTCTGTGGAGGAATTCTGTTACTTCTTACCTCCAATGAGCATAGTACAAACAGAAAAGATCTTCTCAGCATCAGTGTTGGCACACACATTGCCAAAGCCCACACTGGTCAGACTGCTCAAGGTGAAATACAGCGAGGCGATGTAGGCACTGCGAACTGAAGGACCACCGACTGTACTGTTCAGATAGGGCTTGTCTAAACGTCTGCCCAACTCATGCAGCCAACCTGACATAAAGAAAGAAACAAATGTTAAACTGCATGTCAGCGCTGCACAATTTGGCAAAAAAAAAAAAAATCATATGGCAATTATTTGGTTAAACAGAATATTGTGATCTCCAGAATGTGGAACAAAGAGAACACACTCTGCCCTGCCAGTAGAAATAGTTGCTTTTTAAGGGTTTACAAGAATCAACCAAGACAGTTTTCAGTGACCAGTCAGAGTTAAAAAATGCTCTATGCATTCACATTATGATGATAAAATATAATATGTACTATAATTTATTGGGTAACACTTTAGAATACGGTTCCTTCGTTGATCAAACTATTCTTGTGAATAACTACACAAGAACCAATGAGTAACGCATTAACAATCTAGTAACTATTATTAACTAACAAGAAACTCTGATTAATGAACTAGTAAGTAATAGCACACAGATGAAAGTGGTAGTTCACTAACTAACCAATAACTACTAAACGCTCCCAGAGAACTACTGAAAAAGTTTATTAACAATCTGGTAACTGCTATTAACTAAAAAAAACTCTGATTATGAATTAGTAAGTAATAGTGCACAGATGAAAGTGTTACTACATACTTCTGTGGGAATTATTTGGATTCGTATTCTAAAGTGAAGATCATTGGAACTAACTAAGTCATTTCAAGCGTTTGAGATTTTTGGTGAACTATACTTTTAGAAAATTTCTTTAGTAACACTTGAGTCATCACTAGTTAGCTCCCATGGTCTTCACTGTATAATACAGATCCAAATAATTAGTAATTCCCATAGAAGTATGTAGTAACACTTTCATCTGTGCATTATTACTTACTTGTTAAATCAGAATTTCTTTCCGTCAGATCATTTTGTCATGGCTATGATTACAAGAGGTAAAACAGTATAAAAACTGTTCGTTTTCTCACAAAAAACGCTCGTTTCGTGTCCTATGCCATCAATGTACTTACATTTACGAGTCATTAAATCATGTTTAATTTTGACTTCTCTGTGCATGCTTTTTGAGGTGAACTGATTGAGGACCCCCTTCACCTCCAGTGTATGACTGATAGAGAAGAACGGTTTGACTGAAAAATGTCAAAATTGAAAATACTGTGGAAACAAAGACACCTACATCTTGGATGCCCTTGTGTTAAGCTAAAACATATCAAAAATTTATTTCAAAGTGAACTATCCCTTTAATAATAGTTACTAGATTGTTAATATTGTGTTGCTTACTGGTTCTAGTGTAGTTATTCATTAACGAAGTAACCATATTCTGAAGTGTTACCATTTATTGTACAGTACATATGTGAAATTATAATATGATTTACCATTAAATGCATATTTAATACAATTTCAACATTAAACTATCAAGCTTTTATTTTGGTGGAAAACTGCATGGAGACTACACTTTTATTTAAATGTAAGTGTATGTTAATTTGACAAAAGGTTTCTAATTACAAATGTGCTAGAAAAGACTATATTCACAAAATTGTTGGAACAATATAAATGTAATAAACATTAACCTAGCATGTTGTGTATCCAAATTCATGTGTGCAGACTGCAGAGATGGGGCTTGTGTGGGGCAGAATGTATTGCGAACTGAACTACTTGTTCTGGGACACAATGTTTCAGCCAGAAGACATCTCATGTGCATAAAGTCCCCAATGGCGTAGAGGCAGACACAGCTCTAAGGCGCTCTTCCCTATAGCTTCATACATGCCACAAACTGAAGAATAGCTTGTATTGCATGTGCTCGACTGTGAAATGCACACACAGGCTTATATAGTCACTGAGTTGTTGTTTTTTTTTTTTTTCAATCTTTAAGACTGTGGTAAGCTTTCCATTCCATACATTCAATAATTACATCTTTCAAATTATGTGAATTATTTTCTCTCTCAGACACAACCACCAGCAAAACTCTATGTCAGACCAATTTCCACATTTACATACTTATTTCAAAACTGGTAAGCATAATACAAATCTAAATAAGACAAAAGTTTAGTGCATCTTGGATGTAAAATGTATTGCTGTACCAAGCTGAAAGTTGTTAAGGAGAACGTGTAAGTCACTTAAGTATTGAAAAATATGTCCTCGAAATGGTAAACCCACAGTTGACATTGAGGCACAAAATAGGTGGATAGTTGAGTTACAGGCCCCTATGTTTTCATAGCAGAGCCTCTAACTATGGCAATTGCAACTAATGGTCAAGGACATTCAGAACATGAACGCTCCTCAATGTGCACTATGAGTGAATTAGCATAAGCACTTCTGGTAGCATCATCTTGTATTCAATGTTTTTTTGAATGGGTTTTTTTGGTTAAATGCATGAAATTAGGCCTGTGGTTAACACACATTAAAGATATCACACATTTTATTGTACGGCATAAAACACATTCGTAATGCGCATGGTTTTTGAAAACTTTTACTTGTCTTGAAGAAGGCAGTTGAACAAGCGGCTAAATGGTACAGAGGATGCAGGGACGTTAAATGCAAGATGGCCTACACTCGCAGCTATCGCAGCTCATTGTGTTTTTAATCACACTCTTGCAAAACTATTTTAATTCAAATATTTCAATGATTTTTTTAAGTAAAAACTTGAACAGGTACAGTGATTTTTGTACAACTAGTGGTCCAATGCATTATTACGAAAGTTTACAGGACATAAAGTTTACTGTGCGCAAAGTTGCAAACAATCAAAGCGTGTGCCCAGAAAGCCACACTACTTGAAAACTGCACTGTCTTTCATGTCTTCTTGAGCTTCTTGAAACTGATGAATTCACACAAAAGTATGTAAAAATGTTACTAGTAAACAGTTGGTTATCTTTTAAATGAATGCAAGTTGAGATAAAAAAAAAAACGTTATAAATAAACGGCAGTGCTTTTAATGTTGATCAAACAACAAAGAACAAAAAAATCACTCACTGTTCTTGACTGATTGACCATTAAGATTCATATATAATTACAGTGAAGACAATGCTGTGTTATTTTACATTTGATTACGTTTTAAATTCTGAAATTTAAATTATGTACCTGAAAACTACTATTAGAACAAACTGAAAATCTGAAAAGCACTTTGTTTCTTTGTTCTATAGTATTTATTTGTACTATTTGTTATTGGATTATTTGTTTTTATTTTATTACTGACTGTTTACATGTTTTTAATGCCGCAGTATTAAAATTGTAATTTTGTTGAGCTGTAGAATTGTAATATTTCATTGGTATCTAAAAATTTAAAACACTGACTCAACCAGGTTGTGGGTAGCACTTTACTTGAAGGGGTGTGCATAAGACTGACATGACACCTTCATGAATACGAAGGAGGGTTTATGCATGTTTATGACATGATTTCCATTACACGAGAGAAAATGTTAAAACTTCATGCTCATTTGTACTCGGCTTTCGCCAAGGTAAGCAAAACTAAGACGTTACAGTAAACTATGCTTCTGCATCTATTTATGCTTCTTTCCATATGGTGGTGTGACCCCCTTCTGTCCGGCGTTAACGGCTGCAGTGTACTTGCCACGTCAGCACACACAACGGCTGCAACTATAGTGTGGTCTCCCTAGTGGACCAGCAGGACAACCGTCTGGGTTGAGCCGAGTAAAGTGACATCTCCAGGGTCTTCAAGTGGGCACATTCCGTCCTCAGTGTTTCGTTGACTATAGCCCACGACACCTCAAGAGGACTCGACAGTGACTCTGGAGTCCCAGAGTCACCCCCCTCCGTCCCCCACTCAACTCAACCCAGCTTACTGACCTCTACATCGCTCCTGCTGCTGACACCTAACCACAATCTCACAATCTCTCCGCAACCCAACCATATGCGCCAACCTGTTTGACTAAGGCTGTCGAGCCCCACTGGTGCGTTAATGCCATTTCAGTGCCAATGGTGTGGCATAGCACCTACCGCAAAACACAATATCTGCCCAAGCACCGTCATTCAAACAATATACACAGGAACGTAATGACTGTAAATACAATGCAACCTATACAAAAAACTCTTCAAAAATTCTACGAAACTGTAGCGTAATGGCCTGTACACAGCCAGCTAGAATTTTTCCTTCTCAACCACAGCCAGTCACTGCTCCTTTCTGCTGCTTCAGATTAGTTCTTTACTGTGCGACGCAACTCTTGGCCACTGAATCCGACGTTGACTTATGACAACTGTCATTAAGTGTCATTCACTCAATTATGACATTGTTTGAGATGTCTTTGTTATGACACCTTGACATAAACCAATACATCATAACCTGTAATAAATAAGTCGTAAACATGACATAGCAGATTAATTATCTTAAGAAACAACTTATCTTTATGGGCTACAATAATATTAAACTGTCATATAGTTGGTTTTGACATTGGCCGTCATGAGGCCATTATAACTAGGGATTTAATATTTTTCTTGACCTCAACAACAGTGGTAAAAATTGAACTTGTCAGTAAAATGTTATAACGGTCTGATGACAGCTAATGTCAAAACCAACCACCTGACAGTTTAATGTAATGTTAACCCATTAAGCTAAGTGGTTTCTTAAGTTTGATAATTAATCTGCTATGTCATGTTTATGACAGGTTGTGTTGCCACGCTCAAAATTGCTTAAATCACCTTTCTTTCCCATTCTGACATTCAGTTTGGAGTTCAGGAGATTGTCCTGACCAGGACCACACCCCTAAATGCATTTAAGCAACTGCCATGTGACTGGTTGTTAATTGCATTAATGAGAAATTAAACAGGTTTTTCCTAATAATCCTTCAAGTGAGTGTATATAAATATACTGTACAAACAATAAAAGTAACAAAACTGCGGCTGACTTCTCTGACTTTCTTTGTCAGTCAAAAATGATCATATTTAACGCCTTATACTGTACATTTTGGGCCTGTAAGAGCAGTGTCTATCAACAGCTTTAAACTTCCTCCCTCCACACTATTTGCAATAGCCAGTGTGCCAATCTGACTGGGTGGCATTATGTAATTTCTGGGGATCAGGGGGACATAAATGGGCTGAAATCTGTCATGTTTAGATGGCTTTATTAGACTCGCTCTGATTGAGTGGTGTTTTTTATTCAAACATCCCATATCGTGATCAGTTTGTAAATATCTCACCAATGTCCCAGACTCCATTGGAATTGATCTCCATCTCTTTGCGCCCGATGATATACCAGATGCAGGCCATCCAGTGAGCCAGCAGAGCAAACATCGACATGAGTAGTGTTAGCACCATGGCGCTGTACTGCGAATACCTGTCCAACTTCTGCAGCAGTCTCAACAGACGCAACAATCGCACAGTTTTCAGCAGATGCACTAGAGATGTCTTGAACAAGCACAAACATGAGTGGTGTGTCAGTAGCCTATAAACATTTTGATAACATGTCACCACATATTTTACTGTAATTATAAAATATGAAATGTCACGATAATTGAACATGGCAATCTTTCTGTACCATATGGCGTTCATAAGTAGATCATGGTACCACCTCACATTTTTTTTAAAGGAACTCTTTCATTTGAATCATCAACAACCTATCATTTTCACTATTTTCCACAATTCTACAATTGTTTCTACAAAATACAAATGTGAATTCATACAAATTAGTTTATACAGTCAAACATTGAAACTTACAACAGTAACGTTAAATGCATAGAGAAGGTCAAAGGGCAGCGCGGCCACCAGATCCACAAAGAACCACGTGGTGGCGTAATGTAGACAGATGGAGCGAGGCTCGTACACCACCTGCCCTGACTGACTCACGTAGGTGGTGCGAAAATTAATTATGATGTCTGAAAGAGAAGGCAGGTTTTGGAAGTCAAAAAAGGAAATTTTTCTATAAAAGGCTTTTTTTGTTGCTAATCCCTGATTAGAGAGAGAAACAGAGAGACAGAGAGAGATTGGGAAAACAACTGGATCATCATTTGTTCAAGTTCTTGCATCATATGCTTATTATGAGAAATATAAAATAGCCCAACTCAACTGCACGACAAACGCTTCATATATTACTTTTGATGACTGCAGTTTGATGTGCTAATGGAAAACCATCTGATGCTAGAGTATCTCTCTGTATCTGTTCTATAGTTCAGATTATTGCTTTCCTAGTAAACTCACCCAGAATAAAAAGCATTTCCACTGCGATGTCGCTCACTATGGTGCTCCTGCCTGCAGTCTCCAGATCACTGTACGGAGTGAAACACACATTGTACGGCACGGTCACAGCAACATAGAATGTAGCCAGCAGAATCATCCAATCCCACAATGCCTTGGACACACTGTAATGCAGGAGGATGAATCGAGACTTCTGGACTGCTGCCACTTTGTACTCAGGCAGGGACGGTTTTTCAAATATTTCCTGAGAAGAGAAAGAAAGCCACAGATGAGCTCATATCTCAATGTCTTAAAGGCAGCTGTGAGATTAAATGAGCAAATAAGGAGATTTTCCGAAGTCTCTTAATTCTCAGCATTTCTCCTGTGAAAGTTTGTTGATACCACATTAACCAAAGTAATTTTATACTGCATATTATGCTTGAAAGTATGACTGCATTATCAAATATTTTAATGCAAATTGTATCGTATGCATTGTATTGTATGCAAAAAGTCAATCGTGTATTTCACGATAGTGTTACTGAAAGAAATACATTATAATACTTGTGGTTATTACTTTTAAGAGTACAATGGATTATAACATTAGATGAAGCCTGCATTTGTGGTAATAACTATTAAAAGTATGATTTATAACACCCAATGAACATAATGTTTTACCACTGAAAGTGAGACACTACAGGTGAATAGGGTAAAATTTTTAAATAATAGATATCACCATGAAACTTCCTCAGTTGATTACTTAAACAAGTATATAAAAAATGTATTACAAGTATTTGTATGTTTAATTATGCAAATTAGGCATTATCTCATTACATATACACAATTTTGCATATATTTTCGCTATATAGAACTTTTTTTCATTTAGTTAAAATGTCACATAAATCTGGCCAGGAATGATTTATTAACAAATCCCTCTGAAAACATCTTCAGTAGTATACAGTATAAGTAGTAATTTTAGTAGTAACTTATATAAGTAGTAATAGGCTATGTGCACAACTGTAGTTTCGAACTTCCGCTTTTGTCAGAAGTTGGCGTATCAGTTTCCGGTCTACGACTGGTCATCCGCATCCACTAATAAACAAACAAGATGAGTGCTGCTGTTATACGAAAAAAAGAGTTCTTAAACACATCTAAGTTCCTAAGAACTGTAGTGGATCTAACGTCCGTTTCACACCCGTTTGCAGTGTGTGTTCTGGTGCAGGAGCGTGCTGTTAGTGCGTTCACATATGATGCGTTTGTACAGTGAATAACTGATCCGCCGCGGCTGTACAACAAACACATACTTAATATTTTTATTTAAAGTCCAGAAGTTATGCTGCGACTTATTTTTAAAAACAAAAAGTTGTGTCAGCATTGCGATTCTTTGTATGCATGTTTAAACACAATTCAAACAATGTAAGTTAGGGCTATGCATTACATGCATTACAAGTTGCTCAAGCAAGTGGTCAAATATTTCGCAAATAATTTAAATTAAAACTTGAAATTGACAAAAGCAGCCGACTTGCCTTTTCTTTTGCATCTTAATTTTAAAACAATCGATCTTGCATGTCACAAAACTTATTTTTCCACCTCCACGATCGAGACGAGTTCATTTTGTCGCCTGGTTGAAGTAAATTGTATTTTTCCTTGATTAAATGTGCATTTATGGTGAGATTACTGGGCCTACATTTTATTTAATTAAACACATTTATGGTGAAATTACTAAATTTTCAGGTCAAACTTTATCATTTTGACCACCAGCGTTTGCAGCACAGCAGAAATAGATTCGGTGTGGAAACGATCGCTGTGCTGCTGTTATATAGCCTACCACACCAGTGAAAAGTGAAAGCCCTAACCTGTTTACATGGTGCGTTAGGAGACTGCTGTGCGGCACTTTGCTCTGCTTCATGTCGCTAACAGCCAGATTTTGAGCTTCTACTGCTTCCTGATAAACACCAACCTTCGTGCGCAGTGGCTGCACAAAATAGACATTTTGATCGACGCGCAAAAAATAATAATATTAAGTATGTGTTTGTTGTACAGCCGCGGCGGATCAGTTATTCACTGTGCAAACGCATCATAATATGTGAACGCACTAACAGCACGCTCCTGCACCGCAACACACACTGCAAACGGGTGTGAAACAGAGGTTAGATCCACCTACAGTTCTTAGGAACTTAGATGTGTTTAAGAACTCTTTTTTCGTACAACAGCAGCACTTGTTTATTAGTGGATGCGGATGACCAGTCGTAGACCGGAAACTGATACGCCAACTTCTGACAAAAGCGGAAGTTCGAAACTACAGTTGTGCACATTGCACATTTTAACATGACCTACAGCAACATGGCGAAGGGACGACACGCCTCTGTTCCCTGTACTCAGGGAACGAGGGTTACATACGTAACCAAGACGTTCCCTTTCATCCTCGGAACTCCAACAGGGTTCCGAGGGGACTCGGGGAGTTCCCTGACGAATTGGGATCCCTAACAAAATGCCATGGTGCTGGCCCCTTCCAGCGCCCAGCTAAAGTACCCAAAAGCAGTTTCACAAATTACGGGACCTAGATAGGGAGTCACACTGCTGTTCCGCAAGACCCATTCAGTGGACATTGGATAACACTGGGAAAGTGTGCCCTAAACCATCACAGGGCAGGGAACACCGTGGAAGCCAGCTGCCTGATGAAGGCCTGGAATGCCCAGGGGGGTAGTGAAACATATGGCAGTCCCTGAGGTAGTCCCAATCCAAGGGGAGTGGGAACGTATTTAACAGGGACGACAGAATGAGTCTGTCAAGGGGAAGACACGGCTGAACTGCACGTGGCATTATGGGTCACCGAAGAGACCACTGGACATAACACCCAGTCTACAAACAACTCCTTTAGAGGTAGTAGACCTGGCACCGGCGGTCCGCCACGCCTGGCACCGAAGGGTGATAGAGGAACTCATGAGGCTAACCGATGTAGGGCGCCAACGGAGCAAAAAGACAAAAAGTCAAAAAAGACGCAAGTATCCGGCTGAGACACGGAGTGGCGTAGCAAGCCAACACAACCTATTCCCTTGCACCACTGGCCGTAGCAAGTACTCGGGAGGAAACGGGTTCCACACGTAGGCTATAGACCCTAGCGAATGTGTTTGGTGTCGGCCAGCCCGCAGCTCTACAAATGTCTATCAGCAAGGCGGCTTAAGCCAATGCCCAGGAGGCGGCAACATCTCTAGTAGTAGAGTGAGCACGCAACCTGGGAGGACAAGGCTCACCCGTAGCTTCATACGCTCGGGTGATAGCATCCACTAACCAGTGAGCTAACCTCTGCTTGGAGACAACCTTCCTCTTCTGCTGGCCTCCGTAAAAGACAAAGAGCTGGTCTGAGGTCCTGAAGCTTTGCGATCAGTCAATGTAAACCCTAAAGCTAGGGCTGGGGCATACACTTTGAGGGTGGAGGGAGACAGCCTTCCCTCCAACCCATCTTGTAGGAAGGAAAGCGCAATTCTGTTCGGGCAAGTTCAGGAGACCTCCTGACGTTAGGAACACCACTCAATGAACAGGTTTCACTTCAAGGCATAGAGGCGCCTCGTAGAGGGGGCTCTAGCAGAAGTGATAGTTTTTACCACAGCCTGTGGTAGATCGCCAAGGACCTCCGCGTCCCATCCAGGGACCAGACATGGAGTTTCCAGTAGTCTGGACGCGGGTAACATAGAGTGCCACATCTATGAGAAAGGAGGTCCTTCCTCAGAGGAATCGGCCAAGGAAGGGCTGTCGCGAGGAGCATGAGTTCCGTGAACCAAGTCCTGGTGGGCCAATACCGCGCCACTAACAGGACCTGCTCCTCGTCCTCCCTGACCTTGCACAGGGTCTGTGCTTCATGAGTTCACGCTTACAAAAAAGTCAGATAAAATGAATGCATATTTGGCGCACTGTCCAAGGAGAGAGCTCCGGGCTCGATATGCGGCCCAAACCCGGATTACCCCCCCATTCCTGACTGTGATGAGAATAAGCCAGGAGTGAGGAGTCGGGGTGGTGGAGGGATGCTGAAACTGTCAAGGAATATTAGGTGAGTTGACAGTGAAAATTTATATATGCTTCCTCTCGTGCTGATCGGGAAGCGGGCTCTGGGCGTGGAGCTCACCAGAGACCTGTTTCCACCGGAGGGCAGACGGCAGAGAGAGCCTGTGGCTTTCTTCTGCGGGCTGCCCCGTGGCGAGGAGAGGGGGAGAGATGAGGCACGAGGTCCTGCCTACTCGTGAGCCCCTCTGGGCCCAGCCGCCGACAGGAGCAACGCAATCGAGGAAGCGGCACTGCTATCTGCAAACTGAGACAGCATCCACTGCCGTTCGGACCCTCTTGGGTGGAGGAGACTGTGTGCCCAACAGTCTCGACCAAGGATGACCTGGAGGAAAAAGTAGAAACTGCTCTTTTACTGGAGTGTAAAAGCGTGCAAGCGATTTGCAAAGATTAATAGAAAGGTTAATACAATTTTACACTCACTTCTTCTGGAAGTGCAGCAGGGACACGAATCGATTATTTTTTTTTCAGGAGCAGGTTCTTAGCAAAACCAGCTTTATACTGATCCTCGTTTATAAAGCAGTCTGGTAGTGAGAAATGATTCACGAATCGCGCAAACATGAAAGCATTAACGTTGATTGTGGGGAATATTCAGCCACTGCGTCTTCAGCAGTTCGGATTTAGGATGAAACACTGCTGCCAATCAACAATCATGGGTGGTGTTTCTGACCGTGTGACGTCACACGGTCGAACGGATCAATTTGAGACTGGGATAAAGATATAAGGAGATTAAAACAAAAAATATGGACAGATTTTTACCATTATATGATGGTTGTGTACAGGGACTGCCAACACACATTTCAGTACAATCAACTTGAAAAAGTGCATGTACCATAATGACCCCTTTAAGGTAAAATCAAAGTTGTGTGTGGAAAATGTCATGTTTTAATTATAAAAACTGTACAATTGCAAGGCTTTACCAAATCTAATAAATAGGAATTATTAGGTTGTTTAGGCATTATGTGTGCTTTATAATGCATTAAGAATATCCTTATGATGCATTGTGTATAAATGCAGGCTTCATCTGGTGTTTTAATGCATTAAACTCTTGAAAGTTATAACCACAAATAGGTAATAATGTATTGTAACTGTTGTTAATATTATTTACTGCATCAGATGATACAACATATCATAAGGTTGTTTATAAGGCATTATGCATCTATTGCATTGAGAATCCCCTTATAATGCATTATAAATATGGGCAGAATTCAAAGAAAGTGTTACCAAGTACATTTGATCGTTATTTGCAAGGGCATCACATGACAGATGACAAATCTTGGCGTTTCTTTAATTTAACTTTTACATCACATAGGTCAGGGGAAGGGTCAAACTAATGGTCTTTAGTCAGGATTAGTTCGAGGCAGCAAATCAAGTTTCTAATCCAGCATGCTCTCATCTGTCACACTCTTCATTAAGATTTAAGAACAGACAGATGATGCAGCTAAACACACGTCACCTCGTGCCTTTATTACTCTCGCTGAAGATATTGTTTTAATTTGTCAAGGGGTTGAAAGATATGTTAGGCAAACTTTAATCTTATTTAAATCAAAGCTGCACCTCCTTGCAAGCAACTGTGTTTGCTCAAAATTTGCAGACACTCACCTAAAGGATTATTAGGAACACCATACTAATACTGTGCTTGACCCCCTTTCACCTTCAGAACTGCTTTAATTCTACATGGCATTGATTCAACAAGGTGCTGAAAGCATTCTTTAGAAATGTTGGCCCATATTGATTGGATAGCATCTTGCAGTTGATGGAGATTTGTGGGATGCACATACAGGGCACCAAGGTCCCGTTCCACCTCATCCCAAAGATGCTCTATTGGGTTGAGATCTGGTGACTGTGGGGGCCATTTTAGTACAGTAAACTCATCGTCATGTTCAAGAAACCAATTTGAAAATATACGAGATTTGTGACATGGTGCATTATCCTGCTGGTAGTAGGCATCAGAGGATGGGTACATGGTGGCCATAAAGGGATGGACATGGTCAGAAACAATTCTCAGGTAGGCCGTGGCATTTAAACGATGCCCAATTGGCACAAAGGGCCTAAAGTGTGCCAAGAAAACATCCCCCACACCATTACATCACCACCAGAAGCCTGCACAGTGGTAACAAGGCATGATGGATCCATGTTCTCATTCAGACTCATCAGACCAGGCAACATTTTACCAATCTTCAACTGTCCAATTTTGGTGAGCTCTTGCAAATTATAGCCTCTTTTTCCTATTTGTGGTGGAGATGAGTGGCACTCGGTGGGGTCTTCTGCTGTTGTAGCGCATCCGCCTCAAGGTTGCACGTGTTGTGGCTTCACAAATGCTTTGCTGCATACCTCGGTTGAAAGTGGTTATTTCAGTCAAAGTTGCTCTTTCAATCAGTTAGCCCATTCTCCTCTGACCTCTAGCATCAACAAGGCATTTTCACCCACAGGACTGCCGCATACTGGATGTTTTTCCCTTTTTACACCATTCTTTGCAAACCCTAGAAATGGTTGTGCGTGAAAATCCCAGTAACTGAGCAGATTGTGAAATACTCAGACCGGCCCGTCTGGCACAACCATGCCACGCTCAAAACTGCTTAAATCACTTTTCAATCCCATTCTGACGTTCAGTTTGGAGTTCAGGAGATTATCTTGACCAGGACCACACCCCTAAATGCATTGAAGCAACTGCCATATGATTGGTTGATTAGATAATAGCATATATGAGAAATTGAACAGGTGTTCCTAATAATCCTTTAGGTGAGTGTACATTGTTTCCTATATTGAGTAAAAAACATTTTTAATATATAGACATGCATTTACAAAATAACTGGTTTAATATAAATTATAGCAAATCTCAACTGGATGATTGTTCTCATTGCCCAGCTCAGAGTGTTTTAGCCAACTATATTAATGTGTATAAATGCTTTGAAGCGATGAGTTCTTTTCCACTTAATGTGGGCGGCTGAAGACATCAAAAACACTTTAAATCATAAACATTTGTTTGCTCTGTTTATAATGAACATCTAGCTGGCTGATATAAGAGGTTTTGATCACATCAATAATGCAGGCTGAATATATATATATATATATATATATATATCATGGAAACTAGATCCCCTGAGCACAACATATGTTGTAGAATTTCCAGCTTTATTTGGTAATTATAGTTTATTGAAAACTACATACAAATTTCTCACACTGGCATGTTGCTAAAATAATTTTTTAATGATTTATGAGGCCAGTGAAAATATTGGCAGGCACATTCATGAACTACTGGGCCAAAAATCCTTATTGTTGAGCACCACTCATGATGCTTTTGTTTGTCTATTTTTCTCTCAGTCAGTTGGAGTGTGATACAACGAAGCCAGGTGGCTCTGCTGAGAGCGAAGCCGAGCTCAAAACATGGCCATCTGTTACCAGAGTGATCGGAAGTGTGACCTGCCAGTCTGCCCTGCTGTTCCACCATTGCCATGTGACATGGAGAATTAGACATCCTAAAAACTTCTCGGCCTGCGCTTTTTTACACTCTTTGAACAATTGATTTTATCAAGCTGTTGCTGACAAGTGGCTAAATGGGACTATAGGCTGTCGAGGAGATTAAAAATCATCATGCCGAAGAGGTAAACTCTGTCCGCTTTTACAGCCTTGTTATGCTTATAATTGTGATCTTACAAACTACTGTATTCTAAGATAAAAAGATTAAAGATTAAAAGAGATGGTGACAGTGGTTGGGTCCGTGGTTGGTGTAAGTTAGTTAGTTTATAACAACTTTAGCTTTTTACTTCTGGCAACTGCATTCAGGCTTCAAAATTCATAAAAGTTATCTGTGATTATTATCTTGATGGACAAAACGGGCAAGTATCATAAACCTTTGTCAATCACAGAGCTTGTTTTTAGCGATAACCCAAAAGCCTGTGGGAAAATCCTATTTGGTTTTTGTCGAGGGAACCACCGTGATAACACAGTCTCATCCCAAGACGTCATATAACTGACGTCTTGGGATGTCTTTTGACCATACATCAACATCCGCCGTTTTAGGGTACCCTTTAACGTCAGTTACATGACGATCCTGGGACGTCATACAACTGACGCTTTACCTTTAACGTCGGTTAGGTGACGGGGTAGGTTTAGGTCTGGGGTAGGGTTAGGATCCGATAACATCATCTAACCGACGTTAAAGGGTACCCTAAATGTTGATGTATGGTCAAAAGACGTCCCAAGACGTCAGTTATATGACGTCTTGGGATGAGACTGCGCTGTGCACCATTAACAGAGATGACTTACTGCAGCTTTAAGAGTGATTTAAATCTTAACAAATCAGTATCATGCACATTCTATTGTGAATATACTCTATTATAAATGTTTATATGTTTCTAAATGTTTTTTTTTTTTGTAATTATTTGAAAACATGAATGGCCTGTTAATCATTATATAATCCATTTTATTGGCGTAATGTTATCAGTGCTCTTTATATAGGGTTGGTGATTTGAACAAACCCCAGACCTAAGCACGCAGCTTATCCCATCCCAATAAACAACACAATAACATATCAATGTTACCATCATGGCAGAACATTGTGCAGAGGCAAGAAAATTCTCACAGATTTGTATTGTAAAGTCTAGGCCAATTCTAAAACTGTATTTAAGTAAATTACTTGATAATATAATGTTTGCCATATAGTGCAATAAAACTTGTAACACTGCAAAATGCTACAAACAGGAAACTTGAATTTGTTAAATGCTGACTCGGTATTTCTCATCGGTATTACAAATAAAAAAATAATAAAAAAATTGTAAATTATACACTCTTAAAAATCAAGTTCAAGTTTATTTATATAGCATGTTTAAACACAACACTAGTTGACCAAAGTGCTTTCCATAATAGATAACAACAACAAAGATACATGACAGGAAAAGTGAAATAAAAAAATAATAAATAAATAAATAAATAAATACTGTAAATGTCACTACTCAACTCTAAAAAATAAAGGTTATTGATTGGTCGCATCTATGGTTCTATTAAAAATGTATTAAATATATATATATATATATATATATATATATATATTTATCTTATGTAAATGTATTTTTTCAACAACTGGAGTACACCTCGTTGTGTATAATGCAAGAACTAGATTTGCAAATTTTAGAGAGCACAGAAGACTGAAAGTCTTTCTTGACTTGTCATTGCGCTCAGTGCAAAATCCAGAAGTTTTTTAAATTTGTATTATTATGATTTTAATAACCAGAGTTTTTTTGTTACGCATTTTCCAATTGGGATACAGGATTTTTCAATTTTCAGAGAGTTCAATTAAATATTAATTAAAATTGATTTACATCCCAAGAATTTATCATGGCATGTCCATGAGAAATTATTACTCAGAAAAATGTTTTAATGGAGTTTTGCAGTTTTAGTAAGTAGTTCATACTTGTACTCACCCGACTTAGGCTGACATCATTTTTGCTGTCACGGGTAAACTGGCTGGTTAGCTGGTAAATCATGGTGCGACCCCTCCTTCTGGCTTTACTGATATGAGAGTTTCCAGTGGTCCTGTTGAATGGCTTATTATCTGCACAAAATTAAAAGTTTTGTAGATGAAACCACCAGTTTGTGAAGACTATATAAAATATTGATTTTATTACATTATATAGTATCTTTGTTTTTTTCACATATGATTTTTAGTTTATTTTCATTACACAGCACATGTGTCCTCTAGCTTCTAAACTCACTATTTCTTATCAAATGTCGAAAACAATAAGTGTTGACAACGAAAGAAGCGCTATTCATTTTATAAACATTTAAAAGACAAGTGAGAATGATGTTTTTAGTGAAAACAGTACCATCAGTTCTGCTGCTGTGATGACTCTTTCCATATGTTTCTGTGATATCCTTGAATGAAAAGAGAAAAAGTACCATCTCCCCCTTCTCATTCTTTATGGGCACGATGTCCAACAGACACCAGAACAAACTTCCTGTGATAAAACACCAAAAAGAGGAGTTACACAGAGATATACTGTATGCCTACTTCTAAATCTGGGGACAAACCTCAAAGACACTCACAGTAACTCTTACAGTCTGAACAATATAGTAACATACCTTGCTAATGTTGACATTGTGTTTGAATTCTATAGCCAGAAGAGAACTGGCCCCCCAATATCGTAATATTTTCATGTATATAACACCAAAATGTAGTTTTTCGCAACAGTTCTCATTGGCGACTAAAGATTTATGGAATTACTTTCAAGCTGCTCCATGATAAGAATATACCTAGAGGTCGGTGATATAACAAATGTGGTTGGCTACTAAAAGACGGGTCATTTTCTATCATAGTAATGGTAATATAACAATCTTCTGTAAAGCTCCTTTGAAATGATGTGTATTGTAAAAGTGCTATATCAGGAGTTTTCAAAGTGTGGGGCGTGCCTCCCCAGATGGGCGCTATAGTGCTAAAAAATAACAAAAAATGGTAACACTTTACAATACGGGTGCACTAATAAGCATTAATTCATGCTTAACTAATGCACAGATAATACTGAATTAATGTGTAACAAATGATTATTTAAGCTATTCATTAATGATTACCACATTAGTAACTAATTAAGAGTCTGTAAGGTTAATATATTAGTTCATACATGAATTGTTATTAATTAAATATGTAATTGTGGATTAATTCCATAATAACTCATTTTTTTTAACTAATAGCGTTAATTAATATGTTAATTACCAGAATAAGCCAAAGCCTTGTATTTCAACTTCCAGGTAATATGACAGGTATACTAATATGCATTAATACATGATTAATTACTTCATTGTTAGTGCAAATTCATGTGCAAATTACTACAATTATTAAATGACTAGTTAATAATGATGTGCCTCATCAAGTAAAGTCATAGCATAATGATACCTTTGCAAATCATTAGCTAATGAATAATTAAAGCAGACAACTGGAAGTTGAAGTGCATAGCTTTGACTAATTGTGGTAATTAACACATTAATTTACACTATTAGTTAAGAAAATATGTTATTAGGGATTAATACACAATGACACATTGAATTAATAGCAATTCATGTATTACTTAATCTATGAATCATATTGACTCTTTATTAGTTGATGATGCAGTAATCATCAATTAATGGTTTAGTTCTTCATTAGTTATACATTAACTCATGATTATCTGTGCATTAGTTAAGGATGAATTAATGCACATTAGTGCACCCGTATTGTAAAGTGTTACCAAAAAAATAATAATAATTAATGATGGATAATGTCAATCAACACATCATAGCAGAAAAAATACTTTAAAAAGCGAAAAGATGCAGGTTTTTGGACAATAGACGCCTAAGATAAAATACTAAGATTTTGACACCGATGACGTGCAACTTGTGCGTTTACTGTTTGGGCTCAGAGCAAGTATGATTAGTCCTTGAGGGAACCGATTGTCCCAAATGTGAGTTTTTCCCTTGAGAAAACTCCGCTCTCATCTGTCCCTCTTCTCGAGGGGAGAAGGACTGACACCTGTCCCAGGCGATTCAGGTCCCGCTCGCGCTGAGCAGAAGTTCTTAGACTTTGAAAACCCCTGTGCTACAGTATATAAACCTGACTTTACTTGATATTGGACAAGGCCTAAAAAACTCAAGCAACCGCAAAGCAATGCCCAAGCAAACACCCAGATCTGAGAAGACTACTCACATTTTATTCAGAAAATGTAAAAATCAAGTTAAGTCCTGTTTATATATACCACTTTATACAATACAAATTGCTTCAAGTCAGCTTTACAATTGTAAACAGGGGAACAGCATCAATTTTTACAATGGTCTTCAGTGATGAATCAGTTTGAGTTAAAATTACAAATCTATGTTACCTGCAATTTTTAAGCACTTTTGAAAACATTGATTAGCTTGTTCAGGTGGGTTTTAATTTGTATGCTTCAGGATGCATCTTCTCATTCATTCCTACCTTGAACTCAAAGTAACTTATTCTCTTACACTTCAATAACTATAGTAACAGAGATATCTATTTTTGAACTGCATAGCCAGAGGAGATCCTGGTGTTGCCTGTTTTCGCTAAAGGGTTTTCTCTCCAAGGGTTTTTTCCAACAAAAAAAAGTTGTACGTTCCTTGCCACAGTTTTATTTGGCTTGCACACTGGGCAGGGCAACTTAACTTCTTTGTGACTTTTATATGCATTGTTTTTTTTTTCATCATGGCAGTGATTACCCAACATATCAGTTGTCAATTGAAGTTAGTACAGTATTATTACTACAGTATTATTACCATTCTTCTTGTAGAACTGCACCTCAGCCTGGTACTCCTCCTTGCCCTCTAGAGCTTTCTCCACACTCTGAATAACCTGCTCACTGGTGCCCAAGCCATATAGGAAATGACAGCTGCAGTTCTTCTGCATCACCTCTGTTCGCCCGAACCCCGTCAACTCACAGAATCCATCGGAACAGTATACAATGGGATAGCCACGTTGACCCTGAGCATTCCCAAGGAGGAAGTTGCTGTCTGAGGAACAAAAAAGTGATGAGTATTAATGTTTTGAAAGACATTGTAAAGTTAGTTGTGAGTATCGTGTTTTGTGTAGTACTGTTGCTGTACTGTTTTATAATTTCCAAATCAATATCTCCACGTGGGATCTTCGCATTTCTACTTACATGACGTATTTCTGGTATTTTGTTCAAGTGGATATTAATTCCCCCTTATGAATAAAAGGTTTATTAAAGTCTAAAAATAAGAAAGTATACTTTCAGTCTATGTTCTCAAAAATATACTATATATAGCCTACTTCTGGGGAATATAGCATACTTAAAATTGCACTTATACTTGACTTATACCGACAGAATAACGTGACATGAGAATATGCATGTATTTTTAGGCTACGTGTCACGTTTATGACATATTGACAGCACTAAAAAAAAATATTTACATATTGACAACACTAAAATGTAAATTTACTTACGAACAATGAACAACTGTACAGACGTACAAATTTGTATGTATTCCTATTATGAACATTAAAATCGTGGCATTAATGTTTTGACTCTATTGTGTTGTCATGTTTTTAGTCACACTTATTAAATGCAGTTTACTCAAATTTACAAAAATCTGCTCTATTCGTGACTTTAGCTGTAAACTCATTTAGAAAGATTTCATAATGTTAAACAAGACTAGGTAACACTTTATTTTACGACCCGCAAACAACTGTGTAAGTACACTGAAATTACGGTGTACGTTTCTGTAATTATAGTGTACTTCCGTGTAAGTATAGGGAACAATATGTTAAGTTTGGGGTAATAAAGGGGTAACACAAGCAAATACAAGCAAATTATTTAATTAGTTAAAAAGATAACAGGTACCTATTCTGTTAATATATTCCAGGCAAAAATTGTACGTCTGTTGTTTATAAAATGTATCACATTTCTGGAAAAATATGTTCTTGTGCAATGTTAAAGGGTAATTTTGACATCTGTGGGTTATATATATATATATATATATATATATATATATATATATATACTATGATAAAAATTACATTTATTGGATTTTAATTTAGACCGTACCATGTGGTAATTAGTACTTACCTTATACCATTGAATTGCAATAACACTTAAATGTCAGGGCAAATATACTGTGTAATTAAAACGATTTTTTTTTTATAACAGTAGCTTTCTCTGCAATTACAGTGCAAATAATGTTGTTTCGTATTGCTACATAGTAAGTAGCTTTGTTACCCCCTTGTTCTGCGTAGTTACAGGGTAAGTGTAACTCCTGCGGGCTGTAAATTAAAGTGGTGTTTGTTACCCCTTTATTACCCAAAACTTAACATATTGTTCCCTTATACCTACACGGAAGTACACTATAATTACAGAAACGTACAGCGTAATTTCAGTGTACTTACACATTTGTTTGCGGGTCGTAAAATAAAGTGTTACCCAAGACTACACTAGAACCCAGTTGCGAACCCAGTTGTTTCATGTACAATACAATTCATTGTAGCTGAATGTTAGATGTTAAAACGGTAAATGGACTGCATTTATATAACGTTTTCACAGACCCAATGGCCACCAAAAGTGCTTTACATATTGCCTCACACTCACCCATTCACTCACTCATTCATACATACACTGACGGCAACTCGACTGGAGCAGCTGGGGTTAGGTGTCTTGCTCATGGACACCTTGACACTTGGTCAGGTGGAACCGAGGATTGAACCACCCACCTTCCAGTTTGTAGACAGCCTACATGAACCACTGAGCCACTGCCACCCCACTTAACATCTTTAGAAGGTAGCCCCTCGACGTGGATTTGACTGGGAGAGCTCTTATCATATTGCCCAAAGTCCTGTTGAATCTTTCTGCATTATGGTGTGGTGTGAGATTTTTGAACAACAGCCATCACAGGCAAGTTCTTAATGATTTTTCTTTCAAAATACGCACCCTGGTCCAAATGCATTCCCTTTGGAAAATACATTTTCTCATTCTCATAAATGCAGAAGAGGTCATTCCAAAGGCGATAGGCAACTTGCTTAGCAGACTGGTTGTGATAGGGAAAGCCATGTGCCTTCTTAGAAAATCTGTCACTACTAGGACATCAGCCACCTTTCCCTGAAGTATTTAGCACTCCAAAAGTCTATGCATAGGTTCAAAGGTGCGAATTATACCAAATTTATACCTTTCAATTTCAATTTCAATTTCAAAAAACTTTATTTATCCCCATGGGGCAATTGCAAGGCCCGTGGATTAGTACAAGTAATATTTCATAATAACCTTGAATGCAAGTTTAGTCACTTTGGATAAATGCATCAGCTAAATTATGTAAATGTAAGTTAAATCTAATTCAGGCAATAGTCTGGTTTATTTTGGGCAGGGCCAGACAAATAAAAGCTGTTCATTGTCAACGCATTCTCACCCCAAGACGTCACCTTTGACCATGCTTCAATATTTGACGCTTTTAGGCGCCCTTTAGCGTCACTTGCATGACGCAATCCTACGGCGTCCTCTAACTGACGCTAAAGGAAAGCGTCAGTTAGAGGACGCGGTTAGGTTTAGGTGTGGGGTGGGGGTAGGGTACACGCGATCCTAGGGCGTCATCTAACTGACGCTAAAGGGCGCCTAAAGCGTCAGATATTGAAGCATGTCCAAATGCTTCCCAAGGCGTCAGTTAAGTGACGCCTTGGGGGTGAGAATGGGCTGTCATTATCCAAAAACAATAAAACAACAACCCAGCAAACACAGAACGTTCCCCTAATGTTCCTGAATGAGGTTATTTTTTTGGGGGAACCAAACAAGAACATTACAGGAACGTTCCATGTAGGTTATTTTTAGGTTCCATTTTTATAACATAAGGAGAATAATCCGGGAACGTTCCCTTAACCTTAAGGGAAAACTAACGTTCCCAGAACCTAAATTTGTTTGCTGGGAACCCACCACAATTAGGTTTTTATGTTTTATTAACAAAATTCAGAAAGAGCACATTCAGATAATCTATCCAATCAGCAAAAGGAGGCCTATATATAAATAGCAGGCTCACCTCTATCCCATGACAATTTTCCAGCATCCCTCACTCCCCTCTCTTATCTGTTCTCATCCCAGTCAGGGAAATGGGGGAAGTACTCTGGGTTGTAAGTGTGAACTCGGAAACTGATGGAAGACTTTTGAAACCGCCTGACACTATTTATATACTACCACAATCTATAATAAACTCTCAAATGTGCACGAACTCACAGATACAGATGGGGACAAACACTTGGTAACTCTTTACTTGAAGGGGTGTGCATAAGACTGACATGATGATACCTTCATAATCATGACATGATACATGTCATGAATATGAAGTAGGGTTTATGCATTTTTATGACAACTGTCATTAAGTGTCTTCCGCTCAGTTATGACATTTTGAATGCAAATATGACATTGTTTGAGAAGTCTTTGTTATAACACCTTGACATAAACCAATACATCCTGACCTGTGATAAATAAGTCGTAAACATGACATAGCAGATAGATAATTAAACTTAAGAAACAACTTATCATTATGTGGTTGGCTTTGACATTGGCTGTCATGAGGCCGTTCTAACTGGCATGAATATTTTTCTTGACCTCAACGACAGTGGTAAAAACTGTAAAATGTTATAACAGTCTCATTAATCATGACAGCCAATGTCAAAACCAACCACCTGACAGTTTAATGAAATGTTAACCAATAAAGCTAGGTGGTTTCTTAAGTTTGATAATTAATCTGTTATGTCATGTTTATGACAGGTTGTGTCGTCTTAGTAATGTCAAGTTGTCTTGACAAGGTTATGATGTATTGGTTTATGTCAAGGTGTCATAACAAAGACATCTCTAACAATGTCATATTTGCATTAAAATGACACTTAATGACAGTTGTAATAAACATGCATAAAACCTCCTTCGTATTCATGACAAGTGTCCTGCCATGATTATGAAGGTGTCATGTCAGTCTTATGCACACCCCTTCAAGTAAAGTGTTACCCATTTGACTTTTCTATTGTGATAAATTACCCAATACAGTGTGACAACATGCCCCAACAGCATGGTCAATACGTGTTATATGAACTGCATGTTTCTTTCAGGTCATTAACGGTGGAAATGGTCAATAGTGTTTTCTGTTGCTACACGGTATTTGCCTATTCAGAAATGGACATTCAAATATAAACTACCCTGATAAATAATCTCTGAAGAAAAATGTGCCCTGATCTACATGATATATTTTAATCAAATTAAAGGTTATATAATCAATGAAAGCGAAATTATCAACATTTGTTTTTTGTAGAAGCATCTTCAGTAGGTACAGTAAGTCAGTACCATTAGCTCAGCTTCACTGCATTTACTCTGCACAGGAAAGCTGGTCTCTACGGCAACAAGAGGGCAGCTATTTTAGGCCGTGAGTAAACTGGTGCTCTGTTACCCAGAAACATCCAGCATTGTGAAGAAAGAGCAGAGAAATGTGTCTTAAGAGGAGAAGTTAACATTAACGGCACATCACACATTCTTCATCTCAAACTGTTGTAAGAAATAAAGACCCATGTGAGAAAACATCCTCATAGTGTCAAATGTGAAGAACATGACACAAGTAGAGTGAATAAAAAGCACACAAAATGCCTTCTTCCTTAATAGCAGCCCACAGCACCATGTGGTACAACGTTGAAAAGTGAAATTTGGCACATTGATAGTAGAGGAGATACTAAACTTTCCTGACGGCCCCTTCTCAAACACTTTAGCATCACCAGCAAGTCAAAGTTGCACTTTTTTTTTTAACCAGCACATTATGCTCTGAGGTTGTGTGAACATTTAGTGCTAAAAAAAATCTAGCATAATTTTACAATTATGTATGTCCTTAGTTCAAGTCACATACTGCTTTAAAAAAAACAGATTGTTGCTAAGCAGCTTCATATTAATAATCAGGAAAATAACCAAGTAAATGTTGTTAAAAATTCAGTTGATCAAACACTCATGCAGGGTATAATTATATATTGCAACATAGCATATTATTAAAAGAAGCTGTGAATATTCATGCAGTTGTGGGTTTGTGTGAGAGAGGTGTTATCTAACAGAAGAGATTAAGTTTGCGTGTAAGCTGTGTGAACGGGTTTCTTCATGACATGGTAAGAAAGCACAGATGGGAGGATTGTATGCTACTTTTATGTCATCGGATTTGTGTGGTATGGCTGCCCATAATCTTCATACAAATACTGTTATGGAAGAATATTATCAAATTTCTTCTGATTTGAAAACTTTGTTGACTTGTGTCTATTTAAAAAAAAAAATCTTTATGATTATATTTTAGTATTTTGTGTTGTAATACTAAGTGTAATAATAAGTCGTAGTCATTTCGATATGAAGAGTTCAGATGCAAAAGCCTCTAAGTGCCATTTGAAATTTTCTTTTTTAATGATGATTTTTATCAAACTTATATATTTAAGGTAGGTAATAGGTAATTAATAGGTAATTATCATTGCCATTTAAGTGAAATCACTGAACTTAAATATACAAGCTTGATAAAAATGATCATTTTAGAAGAAAATTTCAAATGGCACTTAAAGGCTTTTGCATCTGAACTCTTCATATTTTGATGCAATAGAGTAAAATTCACATCCTGGTTTTATTATTATGAATGCGAACCTTAACCTGTAGTCAGTCTTTTAACGAGTGTCTGTCTAAGAAGGTTCGGGATAAAAGGATTACACAAACAGCCATGTCCCTTGACATCCACTTTTCCCATGACACACATGTACTTCAAAGACTAATGCCATGAGAGAACTCCGGCTACTGCAAAACATGAGATTTATCTCCCATGATAAAACAAGAATAAACACACAAGAGTATGGTATCTGTGCACCACTTAAACAGTATTACCTGCTAATGCAGTTATTTTCACTTTAAAGCTTATGATATGCCTTCATTTTGTTGTTAAATGAACAGTAAAATAAAAAAAAACCTGATAATTGATATTCAAGATTGATCCAGCCATTGTAAAAATCTCTAAAAATGTTGATGGCACTTTATTTTCAACTACATACACTTGTCGAAATTGCTTAATTAAAACGAGCTTAAGCAACACAAATCTATACATTTTGTCCAAACTTAATTTGATTGTGTTCAATCTACTTAAATATGTAAAATTTAAGTTTACTTGATCTGTTTGTGTTGGATTACATGAATGATTTGTGTTGCATTAACTGAAACTGGGCTGTGCTTGTTTCCCAGCATGCTTTCCATATGGCTGAAATAAGAGAGAATAAATCTCTAAATTAAGTGTTATTTTCTGTGTTTTTGAGAAAATGAGAAAAGGGGAAGACTTTATAGTGGGTAATTGTGCTTAATGTTCAATAACATTGCAATTATTATTAGTACCAATTATTAGTTGGGCACAGCTTATATTAAATTAAGCTGTGCCCAACCATAGTAAATTAGTTGAATCAACCTTAGTACATTAAGTTGACTCAACGTAAGTACATTCATCTGGAATAACAGAATTGCATAATGCTGAAATAAAGCAAGTTAATTACATGGAAAACTTTTCCATGATTTGTTTATGTTCATTCAAAGAGTTATTTTTTACTTACCGGTGTACTTACCTAAGAAAATACTGAGTATAAGGCAACTACATGGGTTACAGTTAGGTCAAGGTTCAGGGTTAGTACCTAGTTTTTACCCAGTTACTGTGATTACTGTAATAAGTTGATTTTATGTGCATGGTGAACATGACTGTAAAATGAAGTGCTATTAAAATGTTTGCCATTTGAAAAGAAAATGCTAAAGAAAAAAAAAAAGAAAAAAAAAATATATATATATATATATATGAAGAGTTCAGATGCAAAAGCCTCTAAGTGCCATTTGAAATTTTCTTCTAGAATGATAATTTTTTTATCAAGCTTGTATATTTAACTAAGTTCAGTAATTTCACTTAAATGGCAATGATAATTACCTATTAATTGTTATTTAAGTGAAATTACTGAACTTAAATATACAAGTTTGATAAAATTCATCATTCAAGAAGAAAATTTCAAATGGCATTTAGAGGCTTTTGCATCTGAACTCTTCATATATATATATATAAAGTTACTTAATTTTATCCCATCATGCAATCTAGGAACGAACCCATGACCTTGGCATTGCCAGCACCAGAGAATTATTTAAGATGGAAATTATTTAGGCTATGGCTGAATCAACCACAACATTAGTTTGCCTAATGGAAGTTATTTTTAAGGGTCAGGTCAGTTAAGTCACTTTATTTTCAGGCCAGGAACATTGAAAAGCGCAGCCTCACTGTACATAATTAATGCTCTTACGCTACTATGGCAGTATCACATCTCAGTGCTCAAGGAGGTCATTAAATCAAATGTTTTATAATTCTGGTATAAACTTGCCAATAGTAAATTTCAAGACTCTGACAGTATAAGTTTGTTCAAGACACATGTTTGAAAGGTTAATCTATTTGATGAACCTAAATGAAAAACCTTTACATTTAAGGTACCAACTGTATTTTTTTTTCAGCTTGAGTGTTATCAATCCATGCATATGGGTTTGGTGTGTATGCATTTGTGCCAGTACTCACGAGTGCCATCGAAACGAGTTGCAATGGTGTCCAGGAAGGTGTTCTGGGGTGCGAGCAGCCCCTTCATCACTGGCATGATGCCAGGTTTCCAGAGTCAGCAAATGTTTAGGGGAAAAGCCTGTATGAAGCATCAATCTTCACTACATCCCAAAGAAAGGGTGGCCAGGGCAGATGTGAGGTACAGCAGAGAGAGCGCATCCTAAAAGAGCGAACGTCCCCCCAAATGATGACTCCTCACTGTATACTTCCTCAGTCCAGTGGATGTATGATCAAGAAACAAACAAATCCCCTTCTTTGTTAATGCATACCGTGATGAACACTTCCACTTAGTTCGTTATCCTCCGTCTTCCCTGGGGTGTCTCTCTCAGCTGTGTATACCTGCATGACAGGAGAATTCACAAGCCGTGCATCTCTAAAACAGTCTGGGATTGTTTTTGTTCTGTTATACACTGTGGCAGAGCTACAGAGACAGTTACATTTGTCTTCACCCCTCCTTCTCCGGCTCTTTCTCTCTTTATCCACACCCACTATTCATTTCCTCCAGTTCTCTTCAGCCACTGAGAGCACACACACATTCTTGAAGGAAATCTATCACACAGACTCATCTTTACATATCATTCCTGTACAGTCACAATGACCTTCAGAATCACAGTGAAATAATTATAATACAATTTGCAGAAACAATTGTGGGTAATAATGGGTCTTTTTTAATGCCTCTGCCTTTTTAGTTCACGCAAAACATTAATGTAATAATGAGAGAAATAACTTTCATAGGAATATTATTTTTATTAGCTTATTCTTTAATGCAAAGCTTTTCCTTGAGAGCTACTGTAAAAAAAAAAAGGTCAAAGAAAAAAAAGGTTAAGTTGAGTTCAGTAGAGGTTTCCCAACTCGATTTTAAAGAACACTTAATGCCAAAAAGGTTCTAAATGATGAATGATGTCTGTATGGGGAAAAGGTATAACACGTTGCATTATCTCATGAATAGTCAATTATAATACTTTTATAATGACTTAACACACAATTAATCATGTATTATCCACTTATTAAGGTGTAATTGATTATTGTTCCCACAGTTATAATGTTAGGGTCCAGCATCCCACAACCCTACAGAAAACAAACTGTAAATAGTTCACAGTTATAAATGGTTATAATATATAAGTCTCATGTCTTGATTTTGTTTATCTATAAGATTTATTAAATTAGGTCATTTGTACTTCCTGTATGTTATAATGAATTATAGCTCCATTTAAAGAGGTCCTAGAATTCCCTTTTACAAAACGTAAAATAAGTCTCTGTTGCCCCCAGAGTGTGTATGTGATGTTTTTAGCTCATAATACCCCACAGATATTTTTTTTTTTTACAGCATGTTAAAATTGTCCCTTTTTGAGGGTCAGTAAAAATGTGTTGTTTCGTGTGTGTCCCTTTAAATGCAAATGAACTGCTGACTGTGTGTGTGTCTGTGTGTTAGCTGCTCCGATTACCTCACCTTGTTGGATTTACCTGTTGGAATTAAACCTTGTTACCTTCTTCTATCATCTTCATGCTGTGTGTGTTTGGTCTTTTCCACACAAGCCGTGACAAACTGGTATCCAGAAAACAAGTGTCTCTGGATCTATTTTATATTTGATCATATTATCAGCAAACAAACAAGCTATTTATAAATTCCAACTTACTAAAATTTAATGATTTAATAGAATTTAAAATAGCCAAAATAATGTTTAAATAATAATAAATAAATAAAATTTAATAAATAATAAACAATCAATTTCCAGAACCTGTTTCAAATGAAATCTACTCCTTATGAACTCAGAGGAACACTCATGTTCAATAACAGAGATGTCTGTCTGTTAAGGGGGTTAAAATGTGGAATAGTCTTGATGACGAACTGAAAACATGTAAATCTATAGGCAGCTTTAAGAAAATGTATATAAAAAAAGATTACATTATACAAAGCTGATTAAGTTTAGCTTTCCTTTCTTTTAGTTATTATTTTCGCAAAATGACTTACTGTACGGTACTGTGTGTTAAATAAATAAAATGTAAAAAGGATCGGCGCAATAAGCATAAGCTTCAGCCGACACCTTTTCGGTCAAGCATCTTTTCTTTTCTTTATGTTTTTATTATTGTTTATATTGTATTTTCACTTTTGTTTCTATGTTTGTTTGTAAATTTCTTTTTGAAGCTGACCGAAATAAAAATTATGAATGAAAAAATGAATCATTCATAAATCAGTGTATAATAGATTGTGTACGCACATTGAAAAAGCAAATGCATGACAAGTAAAAATAATATAAATGTAACTTTACCTGTTCTTATAATGCAATATAGGTCTTAATGTTAATCTTTATAAATATATTTATAGAATAGTAATATTTCCTAATAAGTATTAATGGGGCTATATTTCATTACAACCATGGTCTTCATAGAAAGTGTTGACTTGAAAAAAATAAATAAATCAAATGAACCGAAGATTTTAATTTCTCAGAAGAATTATTATCTCTCACTCACAGTAAGAAATGCAAAAGATAGATGAATGAAATCCCTTGAATGACTTTGCACAGTATACATTGACAGATGCACTCTTGTAAATCCTCTCCGGGTCACCAAAGGATACACACAATGTGTGCTCAGGACATTCAACCCTGCCTCATTTATACAGCAAATGGATCTTAAGCAGAATGAATAAAAGCACTTAGTTAATGGTAGGTCCAATGTTATGGAGCTTATAATAGTTTTAAATAGTTTTGAATTTTTGTCTTTAAACAAATATTGAACATTTGAAATTTAACGAATGTAAATGTTTTTATGTATTTTACAGACAAGTTTTTTCAATCAGCTGTTTTTTTTTGTTCTGAATTCTTGACTGCAAGTGCAAACTATATACAGATTCAAGTTTTCAAGATTAAGAAGTAATTTGAAACTTCGAATTCCGTTTTGTCAATTCAAAATGAAGAATTCAGATCATACAGAAAGGTCACAGGTCATCAACAGGGAAGAGTAGAGGCCAATTACAGAGCTTTTTTTTCATAAAAATACTAAAAACAAGAATTCAGCTTGATTTTTCATTCATGATCTAGGCCTTGCTTTTTATTAATATGTATTATAATTTATATCGCAAAAGGATGCAAATGTTCAGATGCTCTTGCTTACTGCACTGCACTTTGCTTTATTGCTTTTATATTTTTTCTCCAAATTGCAACTTCAGCAAATCAGCACAGTGCTAAATCGACATAGCTTTGCATCAATGTTAAAACAGAAACTTTTGTAACTGGGAGATTTCTACAAAAAAGTGGTTCCCTTTTCTTTGTCACTCCAAGTTCCGTCGGATGACGACGAATGGGGTTTCGCTTAGAAAGCCCATCAGCTTCGATCAATATAATACAAGCCAAAGAAATACCATGGGTCTGCAGAAATTGCCTAGCATATCTCTGCCTTACCTCGTGAGTATAAAAAGAGGATGCCGGCAGAATACAGACATGTTTTTGTTCACTCCACAGCAATTTCTGACTTCACTCTACGAGTCGAGCCACTCTCTCAGGTGTTGCTGTGACGGCAATGTGCAGCGAGTTCACATTACCTACTGGTCTTTGCAGTGATCTACCAGTGAGTGTGTTTCTCCCTGCTCGCTTCAACATCGCAGAGTTTTTTTCTCCGGGTCTATTTTCGTATGTCCTGCGGGTTTCCCTTGACGCTCCAGAATTGGATCTGTTGTCCATCACAGCATCACAGGGTGGGCTAGAATCTTCAGGAAGTGAAGATAAGACAGTTCTGCCACTTTCGGGTGTGCATATGGCATTTGTCGAGTCAGATCCTGAGATGATGGCCATGCTTTCCCGGGACGATTGGCTTTTTGGGTTTCACTCCAATACCTTTTTTTCTCGGATGTGCTTTAGGAGATCTCAATATCCTCGAAGACCCATGTCTTCCAGCGATCCCTCGTTGATCTCCTCCACCCTTCCTTCCCTCGACAGGGCCGCTGCCCATGGGTAAACTGGGGTCCCCCCAGGTTGAGCGCTCTGTTGCGATGCTACTGTGTCATCAGGGTGCTTCTTCTCGGTGCGATCCTTAGCACCTGTCCGACGCCTGTAGCTTTTCGTCAACACTTGTGGCGTAATTCTATAGTGCTACAGGACAGGCTGCCACCTCTGCATTCCATTCCAAGGCGGAGATACGCTAGGCAAATTCCGCAGACCCATGGCATTTCTTTGCAATTGGCTCGTTTTATATTGATCGAAGCTGATGGGCTTTCTAAGCGAAATCCCATTCATCGTCATCCGACAGAACGTCTCCGTTCCCTACTCAGGGAACAAGGGTTACATATGTAACCGAGACATTTTCCTATCCGACCATCCTCTCACTGCCATCAGCTTACATTCCGGAGAAGGGAAAACACCTACATCCAAAAGGATATGAAAGAAAATGCTTTTAAAATCTACTTGCTGCACAAACTGCCACTCACATTTACAAAGGATTGTAGTTCTTGAAACAGTTACTTACGGGACTACCAGACCAGACGGAACACACAACAGAGCTTCGTCATTGACATCCCCAGCATACAGCCAGTGAGTTCCAAGAATCTAGTGCTCCTCGACAGGCCATACTGAGTGTAGAGAAACAAGACAATCAACACACTAATCGATGGCACCAATAGGGAGCGAGACCCAAAGGCACTCAAGATCAGATCAGTCACAAGCATCACATTTTGCCGCAGTAGAATCCTCTACCCCAGATATGGCTACGACAAGGATTGTAAACACTGGTTTCCCAACACCGCCTTTACATGAGAACAGATTTTAAGGATTAATGAATGTAGATGAGGAATTTTCAAACGAGCAGCAGCAGGGATACAACTGCATGCTGTCTTCCACAAGCAACAACTTCTGATGTAAACAGGGAACTTCAGAACATTCTGATGAAACATACGACTGCAAATGTGGAGAAGAATGATAGTAAGAGCAGTCAGAACTCCTCAATGATTTCAATGAACTTTCAATGAACTTTTTGAAACAATTAGAAGACTGAAAGTTCTCAGTCGACCACTTCCAGCGAGAGGAACAAATCGGTTTTCACGATTGCCTGGCCTTAATACATGGCTGCAAAAAACCTGCAATATAACACGAGTAAACTTCATTGACAACTTGAATTTTCAGTTTTCAGAGACAACTGTTCAAACAGGATGGCCTCTACCCAAACAAACTTGGTGCAAGAGTGCTAAAGGTTAACATTAACTCCCTCTATCACCCTTCATAGTGTGTGCCAATCCACTCAACCTGAGAATCACACACACGCCTGGACAAAGTATAAATGAACACAGGACTTCACTCCAGCACCTGAATGGACATGGGGTCGACGACATATGACAAAAGGACAATGATAACACCATTCAGCCACAACAACCTCTGCTCACGGACACATCATCAACTGAGCCCTGCATGCCCACAGAACACACCACAGACAGACCGGGACATATTAGAACTGCT